CTCACTACCGCCAATACCAGAGTTTGAAAATAAAAGTTGAAATTTTATATTCTCATTTTGGAATTTCAAATCTCAATACTGCAAAAACCTCTAGTTTGAAAGTATTTACATTTTCTAATTTCGAAAAAAAGGCATTTAATAATCTGAAAAGTGTAAAGAAAATGTACAAAAACTAGCTTTTAAAACCTTCAATACCATTTTCTTTTTAAAAAAACATAAAATTTTCGCTCAAAAAGAAGGCATTTTATACAAACACGGGTACCCAAGGGTTCCATAACAAAATGCCAGTCGTTTCGCCAGCTATAGCTGAGGATGCTAACGTTTTCATTTTTTGAAAAACGATCGTTTCGTTATGATTACGACGACGAAAAATCGAAAACGAAACGATCGTTTTTAAAAACGATCCTTTTTTAAAATAGTTCGTTTTTTAAAAATGGTCGTTTATAATTACGATCGTTTTTGTAATTATAGCGAACCTAAACATAAGCGAAGAGCTTTATAATAAAGATTTTCAGCAGGAAAAAAAAACAATTTCATGTTTCAGCTCTACGTACTCGGTACTACGTAGTAAGGATTACTCTTTTGGAATTTTCCGGAGGATTAGATATTTTATCGGGGAGGGGGGGGTTGTCACAATAAACAAACTTCGCAAAAATTTCATATTTCCCTTCGGGAGTAAAAAAAAATGTCGACAAAAAATTGTCAAAGAAAATTTTAATTATTTGGACACCTCTTTTTGCAATACAATGTCAGCAGTTATACTTCCTGGTTTTTATTCAATATTCTCTTTAAGCATTATATATCTTATTTTAATAAGAGTTTTTAAAAGTTTTTGTTCACAACTCTTTTCCTGCTTTAGAATACAATGTCAGCTTTCACTTCCGGGTTTATAGTCATTAAAAGATATTTATAATTAAAATTTCTGTTTAAACATTTTATCTTTTTTATAAAAGTTTTGTGATATGTTTTTAGGAGGACTTTTTAAATATTTCTAAGCCTATTTTTTAAATGTTTTTTGGACACCTCTTTTTCTGCTTTACAATACAATGTCAGCATTTTCACTTCAGGGTTTATAGTCAAAAAGATTTTTATCATTAAATTCTTTGAAAGCATTATTTTTTGAAAGGTTTTTGTGAGAGTTATTTAAGCAGACTTTTCACTATTAAACTTGAAACTTATGACTAAACTTTAAAAAAATTTTTTTTAGTATACCTCTTTTGCTGCTGTTTCACTTCCGGGGTTTTATACAATAGAAGATAGTTATCAATTAATTCTTTTTTTAGCATTTTATCTTTTTCATGAAAGTTTTGTGAAAGTTGTTTAAGGGGACATTTAACTCTATTTGATATTTGTTCGATAAATATTAGCTGTCTTTTAGGGTGTAAAAGAAATCCATATAGGGTTTTTTTTTGAATTATTGAATTTTCGCAAATTAACCAAGAGCAAGCCTCTTTAGCTAAACTGCACTTAAAGAGCTAAGGAAACATGAACTTAAATAATGTCTATAGTAAAATTCCTAAAGTTAGTGAAATATATTTTTGTGGTTAACTTGATTTTTTGGTACAGCTTTCTTATTACAAAACCATAGACATCCCTGAAAATTATTTATTTCAATTAAAAAATCACAATGTATTTCACTTTAAGATAAAATTGCAAAGTCAATAATCATAATCTTTGTAGTTTTTTTTTTATTTCAGATTTGAAAATTATATTTCTATTTCTTTTTCTTCAGAGAGGACCGAGGAAGAGAAGAAAGGGGAAAGGAATCCAGAGAGGAGAGAAGAGAAAGAAGAGAAAGGGAAGAAAGAAGAGAACGGGAGGAGAGAAATAAGGAAAGAGAGGAAGCAAGGGTGAAAGAAGAACGGATTCGAGAAAGAAAAGAAAGGAAAATAAATATTTATTTAAGATTAATTATGTATTACAGTACTGCGTATTTGAAGACATGAATTCAAGAAACCAACTACAGGGTGTCCTTTTAATTGTGCCAATTTTGACACCTGAGGCCGAATTTAAAGAATGTGAGCCGCGGTTTAAATTTCAACCGCGGCTCAAATATAGTTGGTTCCACCTAAAATTGTATTAAATATTTCAAGATTTAAGCCGGCACTCAATTGAAACCGGTTTTTGGGGGATTTAAGACGCGGCTCAAATTCATTAAATTCGGACACTGAATAATTAACAGAAATATATAGTTCTGGTTACATTTATTCAGTGACAATTTTAATCTACAAATAAGGATGTTTTGTTATAAAAAATGGTTTACTTCTTTTTCTTCAAAATGGCCACCTTCCTCTTGAATGAATAATTTGGCTGTGGTTCAAAAATTATCAGCGATTTGCGCATTTTTTGGTATTATGATTCTGAATTTTCATTGTATACAACAAAACGTTTATATTTTGATAGCTCAAATTTGTTTATAGATTGGAAAAATTCCGAACAATAACAAAGTTACAGCAATTTGAAAATCTGCAAGATTAAAAGGACACCCTGTATTAAAAGATCTACATGTTTGAGTTCTATTTTTTCAATACTGAAAAACAAAGATATCGACCGTTATCATTTTAACCCAATAAGGGCTGGAGGGTAGAGTTGTGAATTGGCATCCAACACTTAGATTTAGGGTAATTTGAAATTATATTGATAGTTCATTATTTTACTTAATTAGATTTTTTTCTAAATATTTAGCCTAAATTTAGGGAGTATAGAGAACGTGAAATAAAAGAACGAGAAAAGGAAAGAGAAAAGGAACGGGAAAAGGAACGGGAAAAGGAACGAGAAAAGGAACGGGAAAAGGAACGAGAGAAAGAGCGCGAAAGAGAACGAGAAAAAGAGCGTGAGAAGGAACGAGAGAAGGAAACCATGCATCACAAAGACAGAATGGAGTTAGGACAGGTATTCTGCTTCTTTTATCCATACTTTCATTAATCTCTTTCAATGGCGTATACAGAATTAATTCTAGGAACAATTGGGTACCCTTGAAACCTTAATCTGATCAAAAATGTGGAAAACGATGTCGGTTTTCTGACTCAACAAGTGTTTACAAGAAATACGCAGGTTACTTTCGCAGAGAAACCGCAAATGAAAATAAACAAAAAGAACAAAAAATTCGATATCTAATTCATACTTGATCAGACAAAGCTTTCAAGGATATCGTTGTAAATAGGGCACTTCCATCTTTGCATTAAGGGTCAATTGAAATTACGCTTACAGTCCCTTTAAACACTCATTAGTTTCCCCTGCTCCTGTCATGACAGAGAAATATTTTCATTTAAAACAGAACTTTAGTATACTACAGTTTTACTAATAACCATTAACATTTCATAATTCTGCTGATCCTCGGAAAAAAATACTTATTTCAGATTCTTTTTACTTTTTTTCTTTCTCCTTACATGGTTTGCTTTTATCCTTGTAATTATATAATCAAATGTCAAAGAAGAATCCAGATTTATTTTACAATCCTTAGATTCAAGCTTGTTTACATCCTTTCATACCGCAACATACACTATAATACAGTTGCATCAATTTTCAAGACCGGGCCGAATTTGAAGTGTCGCCTTGGCGTTGGTTTTTACCGCACTAATTTCCTACATTTGTGCATTTTAAAGCCTTAAATGTTTTTTACAATTATTGTCTTTGCGGATTTCAATGATATTTTGTATTAGATTGATTGTGTGGATTGCGCAGTGGCCACTCCCGGAGGTCACCTTCAAGGTGGTCAAGGTGGTCACCATCAAGGTGGTCAAGACCGAACCCAGACTGGTCCAGACGTAACCCGAGACCGCCCTATTCCTGGCGGGGACCAGAGCAGAGACGTAGAGGCGGGATACGCTGGGAGGGGTCGGGACGGAGTTGAAAAAGGGCGTGGAGAGGGTATGGAGAGGGGTAGGGAGGGGGTGGAGAGTGGATATAGTACCCAGAGTAGGGAGAAGGATAGAAAAGAAGATGTTGTAGTTCCATATATGGATTCAGATAGTCAGGTGTGGCACCCACAGGAACTTTCTTTATTATTCAGCTAATTCCAAATATTTTAGTTCTAACAAATATTGATAAAAGAAACATATTTATAAAAGAAGACCAACCTTCGTATCAAAAGTTTTCACTAAAGAAGATTGATTTTATAATCTTTGAATTTTGAATGACTGAATTTTAAATTTATAAATTGGCTCTTGATTATAAAATCTTTTAAATATTCAACTGATTTATTGTACTGTTCTATCTTGCTAATTTATTGTACTCTACTGTATCGTATATCTTGCTGATTTATTGTACTGTACTTTCCTATATGGCTGGTTTACTGTACTGTGTGGTGTACACAGATTCCTGTACAACCTTTGGATCCTCCCTCCCTAGATCCGCAGTACACTACTGTACACAAGAGTCCCAGCAGGAAACCAACATTCTTAAATGAAGACGACATTTAAACAAAACAAAATCTGAAAGATACAAATTTGAAGTAAGTGTTATTTTCAAATTATGATTCGATCAAAGGTTTACTTTTATTTTTTGTGAATGCTTGATTAGTTCATGAATAATTTTATCCAATTTCAATTGCGCAAACATTTGACGCCATTTTGGATGTTGAATTTGATATTTTTTCTTATAAAAATGCTATAAGTTGTAAATTGTTACCTTCACTATGGCTTTTGTATCTACAAAATATATATTATTCGATTTTTGTGAAAATCATAGAGTTTGAGAATAATTTATTTCTTCATTTTCAAACTTTAAACCCAGAAAAAAGGAAAGAGATGAAATAGTTTTCTTAAAAAAATGTATTGGTTGGTAGCAGAAGAAAGCCGCGTGTCCCAATGGCGCGAAGTGTCCCGGGTACCCTAGACCGAAGGGACAATAGGGACATGTCCCTTGATTCCTGTGACATGGACACTATGCCCCTAACCCCAGCATCCTTTGGAGGTCTAGACCATAAGGTAGGATAATCGTTTTCAAAAACGATTGTTTAGTTTTGAAAACGACCCACTTGTTTTGAACTTTTAGAAAACGAATAGTCGTTTTAATAAAAGCGATAAGCAACCATTTTTTATATGATTGTTTTTTAAAAACGATAGTTTTCAAAATAAAACTCTTCTTTGGCTAAAGGCATTAGATTAGGATTTAAAACTTATCTTTTTAAAAACACCATGCATGAACCAATTATTATTATTTAAGTTATTAAAGTTTATTTCGCACACAAGAAATGGTACATTAAGATTAAGACAAAGACATAATTTAAACGAGGAACATAAGTAAATATAGATGAAAAGTTTAATTGAAGCATCACTTTAATCAACTATTATCGTTTAAAAAAAGACCCAGGTTGTAAACATTTTGTTCTTTGTTGTTTCCGAAAGTAGAAATTGGTAACCTTACACAGTCCACGCTCTAGTTTTTTTGCCCGATCACTCTCATTTTTGACACTATCATCGTGAAATTTGTTGCCTTTTTAAAAAAAGAAATTGATAGGATTGAATTTTTTTTTAATTCATAGAGCAGAATACAGGGCAGTAAAATGTCCGGTCCGTGTAAAAAAATCTAAATTAACTCAAAATTTGTGACTAAAGCTACAGATCTAAAAAAATTTTTTTGAAAAGCTCTTGAAAAATGAACGTAGAAACATGTGTCACATCTTGATATTTGCTTATAACAAAACAATCATATTTTTTCACTTTGTTTACTAATTTTTTGGCATTTTTTTCAACCCTCCTTAGCACCCAAACTATTCAAGTTCACATTTTAAATTTTTTCTAAGGAGCTTGGCTTGAAAAATTGGGCTATCAATATATGCATTTCATTTAGGGTTAAGAAAAAGTTAAACAGTGGGTTGACTTGCCTGATCCGTTTCGACTTCTTCTTTCTCGTTTTACAATTTCCTATTCCGTTATTAGTTTTAGTTAAGTATATCGGTATTATTATCTCTAAACCTTCCTTCTCGAGCTGAACTAAACTATAAGCTCTGTGTTTAGTTAAGTATATCGGTATTATTATCTCTAAACCTTCCTTCGAGCTTAACTAAATTATAAGCTCTGTGTTTAGTTAAGTATATCTGTATTATTATCTCTAAACCTTCCTTCGAGCTGAACTAAACTATAAGCTCTGTGTTTAGTTAAGTATATCGGTATTATTATCTCTAAACCTTCCTTCGAGCTGAACTAAACTATAAGCTCTGTGTTTAGTTAAGTATATCTGTATTATTATCTCTAAACCTTCCTTCTCGAGCTGAACTAAACTATAAGCTCTGTGTTTAGTTAAGTATATCTGTATTATTATCTCTAAACCTTCCTCCGAGCTGAACTAAACTATAAGCTCTGTGTTTAGTTAAGTATATCTGTATTATTATCTCTAAACCTTCCTTCTCGAGAACTAAACTATAAGCTCTGTGTTTAGTTAAGTATATCTGTATTATTATCTCTAAACCTTCCTCCGAGCTGAACTAAACTATAAGCTCTGTGTTTGCCATTTCAATATTAAATTAGACAATATCATCAATGTTAACATAAGGATTATTAGGTTTCTAATTATCAAATAATATACAGATAGAACTTAAGAATAGTCTTAAAGGGACACAGGACGTAATTTCTGGCGAACATACAATTTTAGATTCTATACTAGATTTGCTACGGTTCTCATTAAATCCTAAGTATATAAGCAATTTTTATTCTCAAAAATTAGAATTTTGAGTTTTGATCTCTGTAAAAGTTACTTTTAAGCTACATAGACATTGAAATAAATTAGAAGAATTCAACATAGGTTGCTCTGATAATGATTTAAAGGGTACCGTTGTGAATCAGACATCTTTGCACATTCACAATCTTGCTATGTTTCGGTTCCTCCTTATTCCTAGTTCAAAATGTTATATCTCGATTTATATTCATTTCTTTTCCCACTATTATTTCTTTTTATCCAGGGTTAGTTTCAATTCCTCCATTTTCTCACGTACATAAGATTCAAAACTTTTGTTTTTCTGTTTTTGTTAAATCAAAATATGTAATTACGTCTACCAGAATAAAATAAGTTACCCCTAAAAAGACGGGGCGTTCAGCGCCACCCACCTCAAGCTTGTTTGTTAAAGCTTTCAACTTGAAACTGCTTGGGTTTTAATAAAAGCATTTAAAAAGATTTTTAGCATTTTTTTAATGCGTATTGCATGGGGGTGTGGGGGGGGGGGGGTCACACTCACGGTACAGGACATATTAAGTAGCCCAAATTTTTTTTTTATTTGAGCTACAAACCAGAACAATTTTACATTTTTAATAAGCTCTTGAAAAATGATGCAAAACATATGTCACGCAAATAGATTATCAATTAGGTGGCAACAGAGAAATGGACCAATTATACATGACGTCACAAGTGTCAAATATAACAAGGAAGACAACATTCTCTCCCATTAGTTGACATGTTATAAGTAATTTTGTCGGATACATAAAACTGTTGACACTTGTGACGTAAGAATACAGCTGTACTGAGTGTACAAATTCTACGTTGCCATCTATTGTACTAGATAATCTATTTGGCGTGACGTGGTGATATCGGGTGTAAAAAAATGTTCATACAAAGATTTATTCACCTCGATTTATTTAGGGTTGAAATAAAACAAAGATTATTTAGGAATTAGAGGACCGTCCTCTAACCTCAATGACGACAAGAATGTGCCGACCCACAATGTATGATGAACCTCCAGAGAAGTAAGTTTTCCGACATTTTACTTTCTATTTAATTATTTCGTGGATTTTAACGACCCCCCCCCCCCCGACATTGTAAGTACATCGCTTTTACGATCTTATCGTATATTCTTAAAGTTTCTTCATTGATTTTGAATGCTTGATAAAAAACTAAATACAGGGTGTCCCGCGAAAGATTACAGTTGGTTAATAGTTTTAAAAGTCTTCTTCCATAATGTGTTAAGTTCAGTAAACGATTTTTTTAAACTCAGTAACTGCAAAAAGTCTTTAATATCTGATACAAACTTCAGTATATGAATGAAGACATTTAAAACTATAACTCCAACGTATAATCCATGAATTGTTTAGATCTAGTCTGTTTATCACCTGCTCTGCCCTCTACGCGTTCTTGTTGATCATTATCTGTATCGCATTCCTCACCAGCGAGGTGGTCACAGACAACAGCCCTCTGCACTACTACGAGGTAAAATGTCGTCTTTTATTCAAGGCCTAGATTCATACAGGGTGTAAATAAACATAGGGCGTTGTTAAGAACTTTAGATTGTCTGCTCATCACATATTCTTCTTACCATATGATTTTAAAAATGTAGTCCACCTTTTTTGTATTCGTTTGGTAGGTTATTGTATCAATATAATGAAGACGACTTTTTAGTTTAAATTTTGCTTGTTCCAAAGCTTTTTTAGAATTATAAGTTTACAAGTAGGTAAAGAGAAGCTATTGACAGCTTCTTTGTGTTTCCATGTTTTTGAGTATCCATGCTGTTTAAAACCTTGATACAAATCAAAATTAAAATTGTAGGTCGTCTTCATTGTATTGATATAATCGCCTGCCAAAATTATTAAGTTATCTAGATTACTTGTGTTACAGTGTAAAAACTTAATAACATTTTCAATTTTTCTTTCATTTTATCAAATAGCGTATAGGAGTCGTACAATCTTATTCTCATACAAACTGTATCATTATTTCTTTCAAAAACTCAAGAATTATCTCAAGGTCGTCATTTACTTTCCATTTGAATCATTTTAGCATTACGTTTTGAATTTGAATTAATTTGATCAAAATTCTTGTTAATATTTAAAAATTTAAGAACCGTAAGCGTTTATACAAAATCACGTTTCTTTCAAAAAGGAATGTACAATTGAATGAAATGTGGAAAACATGTTAAACAATTTATACATTTTATTGATAAAGTTATGTTTTATTTCAGGGACTTTTCTCATTTTTATGCTTATTTTGATTTCAGGGTTTCTACACGTTTTTATACCTATTTTGTTTCAGGGTTTTTTCTCGTTTTTATACCTGTTTGATTTCAGGGTTTTTTTCTCGTTTTTATACCTATTTGATTCCAGGGTTTCTTTTGGTTTTTATACCTATTTAATTTTAGGGTTTCTTCACGTTTTTATACCTTTTTTATTTCAGGGTTTCTTCACTTTTTTATATCTGTTTGATTTCAGGGTTTCTTCACGTTTTTATATCTGTTTGATTTCAGGGTTTCTTCACGTTTTTATACCTGTTTGATTTCAGGGTTTTTTCTCGTTTTTATACCTATTTGATTCCAGGGTTTCTTTTGGTTTTTATACCTATTTAATTTCAGGGTTTCTTCACGTTTTTATACCTATTTTATTTCAGGGTTTCTTCACTTTTTTATATCTGTTTGATTTCAGGGTTTCTTCACGTTTTTATACCTGTTTGATTTCAGGGTTTCTTCTCGTTTTTATACCTATTTTATTTCAGGGTTTCTTCACTTTTTTATATCTGTTTGATTTCAGGGTTTCTTCTAGTTTTTATACCTGTTTGATTTCAGGGTTTCTTCACGTTTTATACCTATTTTATTTCAGGGTTTCTTCACATTTTTATACCTGTTTTCCATATTCTTCCTGTTCTACGTGTTCTGTTACCTTCTTCATGAATCCACCTGCTGCAGACCAGATCCTGAACCTCTAGCATACTACCAGGTAAACAGAGATAACCAAAAAAACTCTGAACTGGAAGACGACTTTTAGAATCAAGTTATAACTCTTAAAGTCTTATGAGCATGAGGCACAGAAAATGTGCAGTGTAAGCAGACCCATTTCACTAAATAAGTGATTCAATAATAAATAAAACTATTTGCTTTGTAACAACATCAATTACTCTAAAGTATTCTTATAATGTTGTCTTCCTTTTTTTTTGTAATCGTGTAGTCTACAGAATGTCGCTAAAACGAGAAAAATGGTCTGAAAACGAGAAAAATGGTGTAAAAATGAGAAAATTGGTCTAAAACGAGAATAATAGTCTAAAACAAGAAAAATGGTCTAAAACAAGAACAATGGTCTGAAAACGAGAAAAATGGTCTAAAAACGAGAATAATGGTCTAAAAACGAGAGAAGTTAAAGTTCGGAATATCTTAAAGGATTTATATGGGAAACGACCGTTGATATGTCCAACTATGAATTATGTTTAAATTAAATTAAATTAAATAGTTTAAATTTGAAATATCAAAGACTAACATCATGTGGTTACAAATTTAAAGGTGTCATAACAATTGTGTCTGACAAGAACACAGTTCCTTAATGACAGATGTTATATCGTACAATAGAAATATTTCTAATTTATTCACATTAATGCTGATTTATTAAACATATCTTTTCAATCATAATAATGGTTTTGGTTTTGTCATGATCAATTAGGGATTTAAATATTAATGTCTAGAAATAATTTTCTTTCATTCATTTTTTGATTTTCTACTTATACAAATATTAAGCTTAAGAAAAAGAAAACTTAACTATTATTATTACTATTATTATTATTAAATTATTATTATTATTATTATTATTATTATTATCATCATTATTATTATTATTATTCTTATTACTACTATTATTACTATTATTGTCATTATTATTTTAGACGGATACTATTGGAAAGAACAGCATGGTTGGAATGGATTATTGTGGAATGAATGATGGATATCCTCACTGCAAGGTTGGAATTAAATACAACAAATTTAGAAACTGAAGGAAAACATTTCTGGGAAGTTTAAGAAAAAATTGCAAAAGTTTAATACTTCATCTAGTATATGAATTTTGCTTTTCTGTCTGTTTGCTTGTTTGCGTCCAAAACGTCAAACGTCAAAACTGCTAATTTGTGTGGGACATTTACATGACCCCGATGAATGTTTGTAAATGATTTGAATACAAGATATTTGTCTCCAACATTTTTTTACTTTTGTATTTTGTAAATCAATGCAAAAAAATCTAAATCTGTGAAATAGCATTGTTTAGAGATTAATCAACAATAAAAGTTAAGATATTAAATATGTGTTCGAAAGAGCGCCCTGATGGCCTAGTTTATCAAATTGTTTATTATCAATTTAAAAAACTTGTATTCAGATGCAGAAATACAAAACTTCGGAGAATGAACAAAGCCATGGAAGTTTCTTCCTTAGAGTTGGGGGACTAGGTAATTTAGAAAATTAAATAAATTATCTACCAGCTATAATTGCGAGGATCGAAAGAAATTTCCTTTCAATTAAAGCAATCGTGAACAGTTGTTTTTAAACCGGTTCAACCGGTTTTTTTCATTATTCCAATCTCATACATTTAGAATATAAGAATAAATAAAAAAATAAAATATGAAATATAATTTTTGGCTCCAGATTTGTTTTTATAAAAAATGTCCAACTAGTAAAGTCTAAATATAGCAAGACATTTTTGTTTTGTTTATTTGAATGTAGATTTATTTCACCAAAAACAGAATTTTTTGGTCTGAACATAAACAATTATAATCGTATTACCTGTCATATTCCTGATGCATGACGCTATATCTGATGCTACAGTTATGATATAAAAATATTAATATATTAATCGTTTTTTTCTATATTAGATATTGGTGTTTCCCCCACTCCTTCAGTCAGTGCCCCCCCCCCTCCTCACTCTTACCGAGTGGGAAATTAGAAGGGTTACTCTTAATTTTTGAAACATGAACAAACAAAAACAATTTGAGTACGATTTTTTTCTTCAAAACTCGACAATATACGGCATTTAACTTTGTTTATACATCTATATATATATATATATACATTTCAAAACTCGACAATAAACGGCATTTACTTTATATACATTTAAGTACAAGAATATCAATATCAACATAAAAACAACACAGTATACGATTTTTGTAGATATACTTTATTAAATTTTGAGAGAATTTTCATTCCGCTTTAATATTTACAATTTCATGATCTTAGGTCTAATAGGTTTTTTATTTGTTTCGAGGCAAATAAGTAACAGTTTTTACCGGCAAAACAGGGATTCTTTCTTATTTCACGGATTTTAATGAAAAATTTCACATTTTCAAGAAACTTGATTAAAATAAATTTATCCAATTGTCTTGTGTTAGCATTTCGGTATCAGGTCGAAATTTAAAAACTTAAATTTAAACCTTAAACATACAAAACAAACCGGCAAAAAGACAAGATAGTTGCAGAAACAGATATTGTGAAATTCCTACTTTACTTCGTATTTTTTATTTTTCTAGCATTTGGTCTTGGAACAATGGTTTATATTGGACTAGAGTTTGGGTCCTGGTTTGAGGTTCCTTGGAACTCTCCTTGCTACCAGGTAATTAATTGCAATCTCCTTGCTACCAGGTAATCAATTGGAACTCTCCTTGCTACCAGGTAATCAATTGGAACTCTCTTTGCTACCAGGTAATCAATTGGAACTCTCCTTGCTACCAGGTAATCAATTGGAACTCTCCTTGCTACCAGGTAATCAGTTAGAACTCTCCTTGCTACCAGGTAATCAATGAGGAGGAGACGACCACAACAATTTCTCGTCCGAGACGCATTCTCCTTATTTTTTCGTCCGAGCCACCTCGAAATTCTCGTCCTCTCCGCTTAAAAAGATGCTTATTTGTAGAACATCGTTTATCACACTATTTTAGAAATTGTTTGGGAAAATTTAATATTTTGTTTTTGCCCTTTCGTCGCCAGATTAAACAAAAATATATTTGTATCTTCAAGGTTTGGAAATTTGAAAAAAAAAAATCATTTGAAGGACGAGGATTTGAGGTGGCACGGACTAGAAAATGAGAAGAATTAGGCTCGGACGAGATATTGTTAAGTGGTTGGCCTTCCTAACCTCGTGAAACTATAGTTTCGGCTGTTTCAACTACTTCTCTGTTAAGTGTTCAACAAAATTCATTCTATGAAAATTAAGAAATTGAGTCTTTGTCACAAACTTTGAAAGTTCTTATCCCTAAACCGCTGTAACTCTATTAGATATTCAAACTTTGAATTAACCATCACGTTGCAAATATAAAGAGGTTAAAAAATTTGAGCCTTTTTTTCCTTTTGATTCTTGGTGCCTCGGGGTTGTAAACAGTATTTAATAGTATTCAAAAATTTTCTTTTAACTGTGCAGTGTCGTAATCACTTCTAGTCCTGGAACGAAACTTTTACTAAATAAATTTTTTCTTGGTATGGCAATGCGTGAGGTATAGTAAGACAATTATCTCAAAGTGTGTCCTAACTTTTCATTATTTATCGCACGCATGATATAAAAGATAATAAATTAACTTAATAGATTTAACGACAAAAACGAGTGATAAGACCGACATATGTCAGCTCAAATATTATGTTTGAAACATACCCACCGCTTTTCAAAAATGTAAACGAAAATCATTTTCATTCTTTTATTTTATTTGCGGAAAAAACAATCAATTTTTGAATAAAAATAGAACATTATTTTTTCAATTTATGGGAAATCAAACTCAATTTTAATTAAATCTAAACACTAAAAATTTGAATCAATTAAAATTTAAACCCCTGAGGGATTCAATAATAAATCAGAATGCGGAAATCAGAGTTAATAATTGTAAACTAAAAAATAGCTTTTTATAAATGATTTCACCAATTTTTGTTGCACATTTTCTATTATAGTATATGTACAAAACGGTCGAAATTTATCTATTTTAATTATGAATTCATTAGATTTTTTTCATTTATTTCTTTAAACTTGAACATACGTTTATTTTTAGGCTGTTCGTGGAATAAATCCTATTCTTCAAATCCTCTTCACATTTTCTCAAATGTACTTTGTCTTCATGAATGCCAGGGTGAGTTGAATTTAAAATTTCAAAAATTCAAAAATAAAACAATCAAATATCATCAAAAGATTTTTACAAAAGTTTCAGAAAACTAATATCTAGATATATAAAGCTTCAGGAACAAAATCGTCTCAAAATAAAATAAAAGTTAAAGCTTTCCAATATCTTTTCATTCTTTTTATCTTAAAAATTATAAAATCACAGTTTATTTAAAGGTTACAGAAACATTTTAAAAATTTGAATCCGGAAATCCACCTATAAAAGAAATTTTTAAAAAGTTTTTAAAGTAGAGAATTATTACCATGGCCGCGTTCAATCTCGTTTAAAAAGTCATTGTGTAAAAGTTTGCAGTACTAAAGATGTTTTTATTCTTTTTATTCAGCTTTTCACTTTTTACCACTCTAAGTACAGTCAGAACCAGAAAATTCTGTAATAGGAAGACGACTTCAAGATTTAAGAAATGACTTTAAATAGAGCAATAAGCATGGGAGACAGCAAGTGCACAGTGAAAACAGACCCATTTTACTTAATTAGTGATGTAATAAGTGTCTGGTAAACTTTTGCTTTGTAGCAACCTAAAACACGTATTGCTATAAAGTCGTCTTCCTGTTTCAGAGTTTTCTGGTTATCACCGTATGTTTCCTCTTTTTCTTATAATATCCCTGCCACAAATTAAAATTAATATGTTTTTGTTTCAGTTGAATATTCATCAGTTCAAATGTTTGGCTCGGTTTGGACTGATGCATATAGTTGCAACCAATATATGTGTGTGGATCAGAACTGTTTTCAAGGGATCATTGGACATTTTATAATAAAAAAATTTAAATTAGTATTAATCAAATTTAAAGAAGTATTGAACTAGGATTGGACATATACATGGTTACCTGCAAAGAATGAGACTTTAAAGATATGCCGATCCCCAGGTTAAATTTTAGTCTTCTTGTTTAGATAAAGTCTTGAAATGAACAAATAAATTGCTTGGCAAAGAAATGCACAACTTTTCAGTTGCGGTGAATCATGAATATGACACGGGCCGCCGTAGTACCTTTGAATTTCCGGGACAGGGTCAACTATTCCGGTCCCAGTTTGTACTGCACCTAGCTCTATGAACAGGACTAGTCGGTGCAACAAGGTTGACGCGGTCAGACTTCATATAGGTTGAATTTACTATTACTAAAGGGGCAGAGGTGAGTGATGAGGAAGCAGACAGTATATATATCGTAAGGTCGTCTCTGAAGTCTCATCCTTGGTGAATAACCCTTTAGTACAGTAGGTGGCAATGCTATTTTGAATAAATTATGCATGACGTCGTGGTGTCAAACGTGACACAGTTCCAACCCATTTTTGCCACAAAATCAAATATTCTAATCCCTATATTGTTGCAAGCCGAATAAACCTATAATATTTCAATTTAAATTCTTTGATCTAACAGAATTCATAGATTGAAATGTCTAAGGTCTACGACATTGGATTGCAAAAATTTAAGAATTACAAAATTTGAGATTCCTTTTTCGAGTTTACTAGACTACATGTATATGAAAAAATCAGTTACAAAAAATATATGAATATAAAATGTACATTAATGGTTTAGGAGGGTATCAAAGACATCGCTGCCTATCGAGTTGCAAAGGGCGAAGGAGTTTCAGAAGATTTTATGATAAAAGGTAAGCAAAATTATCCATTGAAATATTTCAGAAATATTAAAAGTTTTGAGAGAAAATCAAAATATTTGAAATAAACTTCTCTAAATTTATTTGAAACCAAATTTGAACTAAAATTGAAAATCTAAATTGTTTTCAGAGGGGTATTCTATTCTCCGGCAGAGATTTGGAAATGATTCCTTCTGGTTGCATGGTCCATACCATTATATAATGAAAGCAATCTTTAAAGGAGAAGGAATATATAGAGCGTTCTCAATCTACCCACAAACCATAGGTAAAAGTTCTTAAAGGGCTCTACAATCCAAATCTGTTTTTTAACCCTAAACAGGCGGGGGGATATAGTATAGTATGGGGGCTGCCAATAAAGTCTCAGGAAATAAGATCTCAGGAAAAAAGTCCTGAAGAAAATAAATCCGAGGAAAAGAAAAACCTAGAAAAAAGGGACTTTTTTCCATTGTGATTCATGCATTTTCACTTTTTAGAGGACTTTTTTGTAAAAAATAATACTGGAGCCAGAAAAAAAGTCCTAAAAAATAAAGTCTCGAATTGGTAGGACTTTATTTCCGGAGACTTTTTAATAAAAGGACTTTTTTCCACAGGACTTTTTTAGTGTTAAATTTTAGGACTTTTTTCCGAAAACTTTTTTTCAAGGACTTTTTTGGCGGTTACCTATTTTACCAATATTATAGACTACATTAAAGCTGTGCGTTTGACGGGCAAATAATCGGTGTTTTGAAAATAATATTTTTTTATATAAAATTGATTGGTTTTATATGTACTGAAACATTAAAAATTAACTGTTTATTTTCTTTAATAAATTGTGTAGGATATATATACCCTGAATTTAGGGACAGTGGATAAGAAGTACATATGTAGTACACAGTACACTTGTTATTAAAGTGTTTACTGTATATTTTATCAAGGTGTATCATGTCAGAGTTAAATATTCAAAAAATTAATAAATAAACCTAAATTTCTTAATGTTTGATTATATATTTAAAGTAATCATTTTTTATGTCATAAAACAATAATATCTTTAAAACAAAACAAAAATATTTCCCCTTTTGATCATGATATCTTTCCTTTGTTTACATGCAAGCTGGAAAGTAAGCAAAGCTTCACTAAAATGTCGTCTGTATTATATTGGTAAATAGGCTTACCACTATGGAATAGACAGCCAGGGACAGTACACCATATGATTGATAAAACATCTCACCTCAAATTTAAGTAAATTTCACGTTACAACAAAATCTTGTATTTTTTTACCATAATTATTCTTTCTGAAGAGCTATTGAGAGAATTGAGAAGGCCAAGAAAATTTTGAGTTTCTGATATTTAAACACATAAATAAGAATTTTTACTTGGAAGCTACGAGGATGCAAAGTCGTACACTGTAATAATTTGTCCTTCGTTTCCTGTCCCTTGAAGGGATATTAATGTGATGGCCCTTTTAGAAAGGGCCACGTGTTTATGAGGCTTTATCTGATAAAAATGTGGACGATTTCATCACTTTCTGGGTACCTTGAAAGTCTGACATGATATTTTAAAATTTTAATTTGGAATTGCAGGCACCTTAAAAACTCTGCATTCTTCTAAAATCATTGTTTCGGACCCTGGACCATTCATTAAGAATAATGTATTTTTCCTCAAAAAAAGTGGATTTTTAAAAGAATTTTCAATATAAAGTTAATATGGCGAAGGAATTACAAAAATATGAAAACAGATTTTTACTTCTCAAAAAAGGTTCAAAATATGTCAAAATATTTTTACAGAAAGTTTCTAAAAAATGTCAGAGATTAATGAAATATTCATCTTTTTTTAAATTTTCTATTTCCCATGTAATATATTCTGATAAAAATGTCCTCTGGCTTATAGACAATTTAAAAATGTAGAGAGGGGGGGGGGGGTGGATCCTATGCAACTTTCAAGGTTTTATCTTTAAAAAAATATATTAAAACTTATTCTGAAGAAGTATAGATTTTCTGCATCTGTGAAATATTTAATTCTTAAAGTTTTATCGGTAATTTTGTCCCTAAGGATTACAGAGAGAGAAAAGAGAAATAAAAAAACTATTTTTTTTAATGATTGTAGAGGAACTGATCACACTCGAATAAAATTATAATTTTCTATTTCATTTATCTTTGCCACCGGAACCTATTTAAATGGTGATTTTCAATAAATTTTGTAACTTTGAGGTGTTTTAAAAAGTTCCTGTAACATTTAGAAGTTTTATTAATTTCAGAATTGTTTATTGTAAGTTAGAGAAAATTTAACCCTGGGAGAAGATCGACACGGGAAGCCGTAGTACATTTGAATTTCCGAACCGGGTCACCTTTCCGTCCCAGTTTGTCTATCGCCCTGCAGACACTCAATAGGAATAGCCGAACAAGGTTGACACGGTCAGACTTTAGGTTGAAATTATTTTTACTAAAGGGTCAGAGGTGTTTGTTGATGCAAAAACTATATTGATAGTTTGATAAAAGTAAAAGTTTTACAGAATACAGTTTTGAAATGTTGGATTTGGAACACAGTAGGAAAACAGTATTGTGTGGTGGTTTTTAAAAAACAAGACAAACTAACCAAGTTATTGACTAGCTCTTCATAAATGTAAACCTTTCATATTGTAAACTTTTATTATTCATTCACACAGATTCATAGTTTGAAATATCAAAGGTTAGAAAGATTAATAAATTTAAAATGTATTGTCTAAGGGAGTATTCACAATTCACTAATCAGTTCCTTTTCGTAAAACATTTTGTAGGATACGATAAATTATATCTAATTGTGAAATTAACTATATTGTGGCAGGACCCCCTAGATATTATCTATATTGTAGGATACAATAAATTATATCTAATTGTCAAATTAACTAGTTGTGGCAGGATCCCCTAGATATTATCTATATTGTAGGGCCCCAAGGGAGAGATTTTACCAGCACTACAAGAGCCCCACCCCCCTTCAATCCAGGGTTTAACCCTGTATACCAGGGCGGTGCTGGGTATGATCCTCTCTATCCTGGACAGAGACCACCTACAGGGTTTAACAATCTCCCGCATTTTAATCTAACAAGACCTGGACATGGAGCTGGACATCTAGGTAAATCTATTTAAATCTAACTTAATCTAACAAGACCTGGACATGGATCTGGACATCTAGGTAAATCTATTTTTAATCTAACAAGACCAGGACATGGAGCTGGACATCTAGGTAAATCTATTTTAATCTAACAAGACCTGGACATGGAGCTGGAAAATCTAGGTAAATCTAATTTAATCTAACAAGACCAGGACATGGAGCTGGACATCTAGGTAAATCTATTTTAATCTAACAAGACCAGGACATGGATCTGGACATCTAGGTAAATCTATTTTAATCTAACAAGACCAGGACATGGAGCTGGACATCTAGCTAAATCATTTTAATCTAACAAGACCAGGACATGCAGCTGGACATCTAGGTAAATCTATTTTAATCTAACAAGACCTGGACATGGATCTGGGCATCTAGGTAAATCAATTTACAGATCAATTTATCAATGTTTAAGGATTTTAATCAATCAATAATTGGTTTAACTCTATCTAATTGAAAACAGTGCTAAAATAGCATTTTGTAGGACAAAAAGACTTTTCAAATAAACTATAAAATGATCAATTTAAATAATGATATTTTTTTATTAAAATTTTTAAGTTTGAATCTTTCAAAGAAAAATCCTTGTCCTTTCAATTTTTGTGCGTGAGGGCAGTGTCGTTATCGCACATATGATGTTAAATCAAGCCTTTATATATTATCTACCTTGAACCTAACAGCCAAATTTGAATACTCTAACAAATAATATATCTATAAATGGGCAGAGCAGTTTAGCTTTGAAATGAAAGACATATTTTGAAGCAATTTTGCTGGCTATGGAAAAAACTGAATTATTGATTAAATAGCTTGAAAACCCAGCTTTGCATGGAAATCTAAACTTTCCATACTTTAACTGACAAACTCAATCAAGAATGTTTTAAGCTAGATAAGAACATTTCCGTGTTTCTACTGCGTTCCCCAATTTGAGGCAAATCGGTCAAGGGGTTCATAACGTTTGAAAACATAAACATTTTTTATTTTCAGAATTCGAATTTTTTTTTCAAAGTTGTTTTAGAATTTAACGGGTAACGCCGGGAACCTCAGATACAGGGTTAACCACAGAGGATGAAACTGTAAAGACGACCGAAAACTCTAAGAATATCACGATCCCAATCAAGTCTTCATGAATATAGTCTTATAATTGCTTATCAAAATTATAACAAAGAAATTAACAAGTTAACAGTTGCAAGGAATTATAAATATAAAGAAACAGACAATATAAATTCCGGACAGTCGTCTTTGAAATCTCCTTATTTGCGGGTAACCCTGTAATATTATATATAAATATATAGCAATTAATGTAACAAAACGTCAAACAAAATTGAATTGCACGAAAGAGAAATTGCATTTTCAATCATTGCTCCTCTTATTGAACAGGTATTAGGAAGAACAAAAAGGTTTTGATTGTCTTACGTGTAACCGGAACTGAAAACTTTAGAATGGGATATCCTTAATCTCGATTGGTTAATTAATGTGTAGATTATTAACAAAAACAAGCATAATTTAATCTCGAGATTAAGAAAAAGAGTGGATCAAGCAGTAATCCCGATATCCACTATTTAAAAGTTCCCAGCTCCGATAAATTTTATTTTCTCATACTTGTCCCTAACATCCAAGATAGAGAGCTGCAAGGTCACAAAGACTTACAGTGACAATATTATATTTTAGACCTGCTTGGTGGTAAGGATGTGCATGGAAACCTGATAGAAAAATTCGACAATTTTACTTGTGGTCGTATTGACCTGATGGGGGATATCGTGACCAAAGCGTCCCCCTACCTCTACCCCTTCGTCATAGAGTTCAGTCTGATCGGAGCCGCAGTTCTTCTAGTCATGTGGGCTAGGGTGGGGAAAAACCCCAGGTGAGTTTACTGTTATTGTTAGATGAAAACCCCAGGTGGGTTTACTGTTATTGTTAGATGAAAACCCCAGGTGAGTTTACTGTTATTGTTAGATGAAAACCCCAGGTGGGTTTACTGTTATTGTTAGATGAAAACCCCAGGTGGGTTTACTGTTATTGTTAGATGAAAACCCAAGGTGAGTTTACTGTTATTGTTAGATGAAAACCCAAGGTGGGTTTACTGTTATTGTTAGATGAAAACCCACAGAGGGTATACTGTTTTTTCAAACAAAACTTAAATAGCTATCATTTGGTTGAAAGAAATTAAGAATAACGTGTTAGGATTCTTTCTAAAAGTTTTTCTTATATACTACTCTTTTTTCTTCTGAATTTAGTATCTCATTATATTGTCTTGATGATTGTCCCTTTTAACATACATATTGTCTAGATATCGTTGATTGTCTCTTTAACATACATATTGTCTAGATATCGTTGATTGTCCCTTTTAACATACATATTGTCTAGATATCGTTGATTGTCCCTTTTAACATAAATATTGTCTAGATATCGTTGATTGTCCCTTTAACATACATATTGTCTAGATATCGTTGATTGTCCCTTTTAACATACATATTGTCTAGATATCGTTGATTGTCCCTTTTAACATACATATTGTCTAGATATCGTTGATTGTCCCTTTAACATACATATTGTCTAGATATCGTTGATTGTCCCCTTTAACATACATATTGTCTAGATATCGTTGATTGTCCCCTTTAGCATACATATTGTCTAGATATCGTTGATTGTCCCCTTTAACATACATATTGTCTAGATATCGTTGATTGTCCCCTTTAACATACATATTGTCTAGATATCGTTGATTGTCCCCTTTAGCATACATATTGTCTAGATATCGTTGATTGTCCCCTTTAACATACATATTGTCTAGATATCGTTGATTGTCCCCTTTAGCATACATATTGTCTAGATATCGTTGATTGTCCCCTTTAACAGACTTATTGGCTAGATATCGTTGATTGTCCCCTTTAACATACATATTGGCTAGATATCGTTGATTGTCCCCTTTAACATAATTATTGTTGATTTTCCCTTTTAACATTCTAAGATTTATGGCACTGCATAGATCTCCTTTTTTAGTGATTTCGGGCATCTCCCTTAATTCTAAATTAAATAAGGTTTTCAGTTTTTTTCTGGAATTAGAATTTTATGACGGTTCCTTTTCCAAAGAAGTTTTTTGTTAGTTTTATGAAGGTTGGAATTGTTTTTTGGAATGACACCCCCTGTGTTTAGGTACTGGGGGAGAGGATGACACCCACTGTGTTTAGGTACTGGGGGGAGGATGACACCCCCTGTGTTTAGGTAATGGGGGGAGAATGACACCCCCTGTGTTTAGGTACTAGGGGAGAGAATGACACCCCCTTTGTTTAGATACTGGGGGGAGGATGACACCCCCTGTGTTTAGGTACTGGGGGGAGAATGACACCCCCTGTGTTTAGGTACTGGGGGGAGGATGACCTGGACCGTGTATCTGTCACCTCCAGGAAGATGATCACCTACACCAGGGTGGACTGTGTCGGAGCCAGCAAGGAAATTCATCAAACATTTACAAAAAATTATTAAAATCTACAAAAATTCGAGCCCACTCTTGCCAAATTTTCTGTCTTTGCCCAATGATATTTCATAGTTTAACTATCAAAGGTCAATGGTATCTATATAAAGATCATCAGAGTTTGTGGCAAAACTTATTTCCTTTCTAAATCAACTTCTGATTTTCTTTACTCTGGGACAAGAATTAATGAATAACACAGAAATGGTTGAACTACATAGACTAAATTATACGAAATTCAAATATACCTGTCTCTATTTTAATTTTCCGTCTGCGTACTTTAAAACTTTATGTTGCATAGCTTTGGTATTTCAACTTAAATATTGCAAGATCGAAAAGTAGAAATTTAGAATATCACAGGTTTACACCAAAATAGGTCAAAACTTAATCTCAATCTCGGGATCATGCCTTAATCTCATATTTTGCAGATTTATTTAAGTGTTACGGGATTAGTTAACTAAAGTGGTTAAACTCCTTTCTCTCAAGTAATCACTTAGGATCAGATTAAGCATTAAAGGGAATGTACGCGAAAAATGAAAGGGGGTATAGGCTTGATGCGATAAAAAAGCGCTTTTGATCGCTACTAATCTTACTTGTATCTGTTGCGTCTATAAGGAGAAAATTGATAAAGGCGTCTCATACCGAAGAGCGTAGCGCCCATACAAATTGAGGAAGTTGGAACATACGACTTAGACCGTAAAAAAATCAAATTAATATCAAACAAATCATTCAGATATTACAACCTATAGTCATCGATTATCTTTCGCCACATTTATATATAGTTGATTTTTCATAATATGTTTTAATTGTTATGATCTGAGAGTTACTTATAAAAACGTTTATTCCTGTTTCGAGGATTTTTGGTAATGAAGACGACATTTTCATTTTTTCCAGGAATGTTCGAAAACAAGTTGTAAGCTAAATATTATTTAAAAAAACAAAATCAAAACTATTATGAAATATCAAATATATACAAATGTGACAAACAAATAGAAGACTTTTGCTTTTTTGATATTGGAATTTTTTTGAGGATCGAATACATATTTCATTCCATTGTTTAATATTGTTACTGATAATTCAAATCTGAATACTTGAAATATTAATTAATATGTTTGATTGACAAATAGGGGTAAATTGTTAAATATTATAATTAATAGTTCTTGAAAGGAATTGAGGTTTTGTCCACAAACTCAAATTTGCTAATCTCTATATATGTATGCAACCTGAAATATCAAAGATCTACGACATTTGTGTCCAACTATAAATGGATTAGAAAGTCAGAATTTGTGCCAAAAACTTGATTCTTTTAATCAAACTATTCAATATGTTTGATTGATGAACAGGGGTTGTTCTTCGGTCTCCTGGTCCTGGTAGCATCCTTAATCTGTCTTATTCTCTTCTTTGTTCTAATCGGTGAAATATATCTACAAAAGATGAGATTTTAATGACGACCTAAAAGTTAAAACCACTGAAGGTCGTTTTTGAAGTTTTATCTTTTGTGTGAAACCCTGTGTGTTAGAATTTAATAAATTTGAGCCGCGTCTTAAATCCGCCAAAAACCGGTTTTAATTGAGCGCGCCAGCTAAAATCTTGAAACATTGAATACAATATTAAGTGGAACCAACCATTATTTGACCACAGTCTCAAATTTAAGCCGCGTCTCAAATTTAGGCCGCGTCTCAAATTTAAGCCGCGTTTGAAATTTTTTAAATTCGGCCTTAGATCAATCATTATTAAGAAACATGACCAACAATAACCTATGTACAGTGTTACCGACAAAGGATCATACTTCAGTGACGACTGTACGGAATTTATTCCATCTTCCTTATATTGTTTTATTCCCTTCAACTATATACTTCTTCTTCTTTGTTAACCAATAAAAACCACATTTAATACAGAGGACTTTATCTGACCTTGGTTTCGTCATATTTGAACAGCTTCTAGTCGTCTTTACAGTCTCATCCTTTGTGGGTAACCCTGTACTTGGCCAAGGAAAAAAGGGAGCGTTATTTAAAACAAATTTGAAATCTTTATCTGCAGTCAATAATGGGGAAGACATCATCGTTTTCTCGGGTAAACAGTGTTAAACTCTGATATGTTTAGAAATGCAAAATTATAAACATGGATTTCTAATTCACACAAAGCTTTTATACCATTGTTATCTTTACATTGACGGTCTCATAAAATTAATTGCTTACAGTTCCTTTAAGTAATGCCATTTTGAATTTAAATTGGGCTTGATTTATACTTATTTTGTGATCTGAGACAGCCGCGTTCCGGGTTTTTTCACTTCATTTATTCATCGTTTGTGAAAGACCCATTTAGTTTTTTTTAATTGAAAATTGATTTGTTGGTTCTCAAAATTATCGTTCATTTTTCATCTATTTCGTTCGTTTTCTCACTGGTAAAATAGTTCGTTCAGTAAAAAGAGATTGTTTGTTCAAAAGTTTGTTTTAAAAAATCGTTCGTTCAGTAAAAATCGATCGTTTTTTGAAATCGTTCGTTTTTCTTCGTTAGAAAAAAATATTTTTCATTTTCTCTGAACGATCAATGTCGTTCGTCCATCGTTCGTTTGTTTTCTGAACAACACTATTGTTTACAACAAATTTCGTTCTTTCTCAAAAATGTTGTTCGTTGACAAACACGATGTTTATCTTTAATCTTGACATCGCTTGATAAATAAAGATACCGCCTCTGTTCTCTTGACCAGTTATATACATATTTAATATTATTTAGACCATGGAGAAGTTGCAGTATCACAACTGGCTGTCTTCCTAGCAGATATCAGTCATGCTGCAATTATGATTCTATCTTTGCTCGCTATACTTCTTGGATTTTGCAGGTAAAACAAATACTTAAATGTTCTAGAGTTAGATCAGGAAGGTTGGACAAAAATAAGGTTTTTTATCTTTTAAGATTCTCTGCCCCCCCCCCCCCACCAAATAAAACAAAATAAATATTTAAGTTAGCAACAAACTTAGTGTCTAAAAAATGTTTTTTTTAAAATCTACAATTTTTTAATATCAAAATAGAAATGCATTTTTGATCATTTGAACATTTGTTTGCACTAAATGTAGAGACAGCAAGCAGTATCCTAGAAATCCTAATTCAAACTTTGAGATTAAATTTGCAAGTTTTGGGAACAAAAATACAATTCGTGGAATTACTTTCCATTTTCTTTTGTAAGGCTATAAGTGAATTTCTTATTGGTAACACCTGACAATTCTTTAGCAATTTGAGAGAACTGAGAAGAGGATAAGCTGAACAAATTTAAGGAACCCAAATTATTATTCTGAATTCAAAAGGTGCCAGCACAGAGTACAAACTTCGATGATAAATTGGGTTATTGTCAATTTATGGCAGCAAATAGTGAGAGAGTCATGACTTAAATATGTTACAGAAAACTCAACTTCTAACTTTGTAAACAGACCCAATTCCAGTTGTAAAACGACCATTCACTTAATAAGTGATTTATTAACTTACTAGTAAGGCTATTTACTTTTATCACAACACCAAATGCACTTCAGAATTGTTATTCAACAGTTTTTTTTGTTATAATTCAGTTTTTTTTGCAAATAATCTCAAAATGATACAATAAGAACCAAAAACTATGGAATAGAAAGACGACCTTAAAGCAATTTTGAAGTGCATTTGCTGTTGTTACAAAGGAAGTACGCTGTTAAATCATTAATTAAGTGAAATGGGTCTGTTGACACTGCAGAAATGTTGTAACACATGTTCATTGGACAATTTAAAGTGATAACTAAAAGTCGACTTTCTATTCCTGAGTTTTCTGGTTATCACTGTAATACATAAGGTAATGAAGAAAAATGTAGGAACACAATTTTTAATGGAATCGGTGAAGTCGTCTTTGAAGATTATAGTAAAAGTGACATTTTAACAATGTTTTAAGCAAAGTGTTTCCACCACTGACAAATAAACTTTTAATGACTGTTTCAATGTTGATAATGAACTTTTTTCCTTAGGATAACTCAGCTTAAGTTTCATGGAGAGCCCAATTCTATTCTGACCGATATTCTTCTAAAGGTAAAAATTATAAAGAATTTTGCAGCAATTTTTAAATTTTAATGTTATGGCCCAAAAACAAAATTCCAGTATAGCAATGATGCATTGATTCAAATATGAATAAAGTTCATGAAGATCAAACAAAGTTACAGAACTGTTAAATCCAATTTCTTCTGTAGTTATGACAAATAATACAAATATAGTTTAATAATCTTTTAAGAATAATTATCAAATCCTTATCGTTTGATTTTACCTCGCAATACACCTTGTACTTTTTTGTAGACCTAGACATGTAATTTTAGAATTTTAAAGCATTTTAAAGTTTAATCAGTTATCTGCAAACTTTTGATCGAATTTTACGTGATTGGATTACTGTGTTGCACTCTGAAAATGATGAAATTAATATCAAATATTATAAAATATTATTATTATTATTTTACATAAAATGTGCACTGATGAAGATGATAACACTAGGAACGAACTCCATTCTTATCTGAAAATAACAATAAAGTAAAATTAACCCACTGCACTCGACAGATAGTATAGAGTGATCCTTCTGTGGTTCTTCTGTAAAGAAGTCACATCGGTGCCGCGCTCCTGCTCGTCTGCGCTCCCTCCGTCTGCGCTCTGCGCACCGGTGTGTTTTAAAGTTCAAAAGGGAATATGCCTGGCAATTCAGATGAAGCTTATGTATCTAAATTGCTGTACTAAGAGAAACGAATTTGCAGGATTGTAATCCTACAGAGAAAAATCATAAATTATATCAGATTATTGTCCTGATTTCTTAACTTTAGAACTCATGGAATATTATTAACATATATTGAATTAATTTCATCAGAATATCTTACAAATTAAAGAGAATATATATTAATATTTTTTTTGAAAATTGCAACATTTAGTAATATTTTAAATAACGGAAAATAAAGGTTTTTTTAAGACTTTTTGTTGTTAAACCATATTCATGTTTTTTTTGAACAAAAAATATTTTTTAGTTTAAACTGGCTATAGTTGATACTCGGCTTGAAATATACAATATACATATAACTTACACTTCACTAGAAAGGAATTTGGCTTGGTAAAAAAAATCAAATATTTAAACCCCGATATTTCAAACTCAGATTATTTGATTTAACAGAATTCATAGTTTGAAATATCTAAGGTCAAAAACATTTGGTCCCAAGGATATAGTAATTAGAAAATCAGAGTTTGTGGCAAAGACTCAATTCCTTTATGTGACATAAATTTTAAGACTTTGAGGCCTCTTAGCATACAAATTTGGTTACATATAAGTGTTTTCAAAATAATTGTGTTCTTGTCAAATTCTCTATTTTTTTATAAGATGTAAACATGTAAGATATTGATCTAACTTCAAAATTTAATTAATTTCTAAGTGAATTTGTAATATTAAGATTTCTTCGCGAATGTATATTTATTAATGGCTACACAAGTGATTCAGTACGTTTTTATTCTAAAATTTCATCTAACATATAAGAAGTTTTGACGTAAATTTGTAATATTTAGATTGGATCGTGTGGAGTGTTCGCTTATGCTTCCTTCAGCGTAATCTCTGGTTGTCTTGGAGATTACAGACGACTACCAAACCTTGTGGTTATGGTCACAGGAATTATATCTATAGTTCAGGTTTATTATATTTAAATTCCTTTGCCAATTGGTCACTTTTCGAAAAATATGGAGTTTTTAAATAAAAGACGATATTCAATATTCTATCAATTAATTAATGTTTCAGGTTGTGATTCAGCTGTTGTTCATCCAAGATGTCTCCCGCCGTAGAATATTCACAGCTGATCAGGTTCGAATTGGAATTTATCTTTTTCAAATTGTAATCTAAATTTGTTGCTGTAAAAAGAAGTACATTAAGTTACTCTTATGGTGCCAGCAGCTGTTTTAACTTTCAAAATATTTAAATGTTAATTCAAATCATCTCTACAAATTACAAAATAAGAAATCATTAGTTAAAATAAAATATAATTAAATTAATATCTTTTAATTTTTAAATAATTTGAAGGATCGGTCCAAGCCAGGTAGACAGGTTGTAACCTTCCTTCTGATCTGTAACCTCGCTATATGGGTCATCTACACGTTCGAGGTTCAGAAGGTGGAAGAGTCGCCAGTCCAGGTATATACAAGCCTTTCCAGGTCCTTCAGGTAAATTTAGGTCGTTCCAGGTATATATGAGTTCTTTCAGGTAGAAATAAGTCGTTCCAAGTAGATATCGGTCGTTCCAGGTAAAAATAGGTCGTTCTAGGTAGACATTTATACCGGACTTTCCAGGTAAATATTCAGAATTGTCGTTCCACGGAAGATATTCATAACGATCGATACAGATTGACATTTATTTTGGTTGTAAATTCATAGTGGTCGTTCCAGGAAAGTAGATATTAGCCAAGTTCGTCAAAACTAGATTTTTTAATAGGTGTTTATTTTGATTTTTCAATAGGTGTTTATTTTGATTTTTCAATAGGTGTTTATTTTGATTTTTCAATAGGTGTTTATTTTGATGTTTTTTAATGATAATCTACTGAAATTTTATTCTTGTTTTATGCCATATTTTAGAATTAAAAAGCAGCTTTGCATTTTCACAAATTTTGTTTCATACAATCAACCACTGACATTTAATTAAGTTTTAAAACGACTTTGACTTCTTTTTTATTTTTTTTTATCTTTTTAAACTTAATAATTTTTCAGATTGAGTTTTTCGGTTACCAACCCTGGGTGATAATACAGAAGCTATCCCTACCACTCTGTATTTTCTTTAGGTAAAATTAAGACGCTTACGTTTTTTGACTTGTTGTTATCTTGACTATTATCTGTTATCTTTTGTGTAATCTCTTTATTTTTGTTATATTAGTTATATTAGCCGTGAGATTTGCAAAAACTAATAAGATTTAAATTCATAAATCCAAATGTATTAATGTTCTGAGCAGAGTGGAATTCTACAAATCGATTCGACCTCTAGTCATTTCAGCACTAAACATTAAAGATAGAGTTCTAAAATTAAAAAAAAGGACTGTGAAATAAACAAAATAATATGAAAAATGTATATTTATTAAGTCTGCAGCTTGCTGGGATAATATGAAAAATGTATATTTATTACTTGTGAAAATATTATGAATGTGAAAAGAACTGTAAGGGTAATTTCAAGTGACCCTCCAAGCTTAAAGCTAGGAACACCTGATTCACAAAACCTTCATAAAATCATTAATTTTGAAGAAATGGTCAGTTTTCTAGATTTAAATGATTTTTTTGATAGATAATTTTCCTGTATACTTTCCTTAATTTAAAATGAGCATTTTTTATTTATAAACCTTTAAATAAAATATTATATATTATAAATAAAATATCAGACAAAGCTTAATGATGTTAGGGTACCCTTCTGAATCGGGCATTGCCATCTTGCAAGACAGGGTCACTTGAACTAACGCTTACAGTCTCTTTAATCCTAAGGTTTCTGAGCACTGTTGCCCTGGCTGAGATCTGGAAGAGTTCGTATAAAACCAAATTGATTGATTGATTGAAGAATATTCAACCTAATTGTCGGGATTGGTATTGTGTGTACTCTACTGTGGAAACCTGGTTTTTATATACAAACATTGCTTCCAGTACTAATGCTAACACCAACACCACCATCACCAGAAAATATAAAAATTCACAAAGGAATATAAGAAAATTACATTTTATTAGTATTTCTTTAATTAAAATTAAATGTGTCGCTGCCCCTCTACCCCCTTCATCTAAAAAAGGACAATCTCTTGTGACTATCTATCTACATTAATCTAACCTAAGTTGAAACAGTATGATTACGTGAAGTTTTTTTTGGTAATCCCCCGGCCCAGGGGAGGACGAATCCAACGCAAGGAAACTTTGTTTTCATTGATTTTGGGGTAATTCTTTTAGTTTAAAAAATAAAGAAGTTGACCCCAAAAATTCAGAATCTATAAGTTTTAATTTTTGTGTTTTTGAAAATTTTCTTTTAATTCCCAGGTTTAATCAAACAGATTCCATTAAAAGAGTCAAATTTCGAACAATGTGAACGAGTGAAGCTCAAAAATCTCTAACAAAGGGAATTTTTAATGCCAACCCAATGGTCTCTAATATGTGTTCATTTGTAATTACAATTGGGGCCAGTTTTGAATGGTCTATGTATTGTTGTGTACTGCATAATCCTTCTCAGAGCACGAAACTTAAGACAGAGTACCGATGAAACCCAGTATCGGAAACACAGTTTCATGAATGGGGTTAGGCAGTTTTGTAGAAACCGATCTATTAAATTTCTGACTCAGTGTTAGAAATCCCAACTCTTGGAAGATTTTTCAAGATTATCTTTTGCTCATTTGGTTAGAGAAATGTACACAATAACACAGAAATCAAGAAGTCTGCCAAAAATTGTACAAGATCGCATTTTTTTAGTAATAACTGTCAATATTAAAAAAAATGTTATATGTAAACTTTTAAGCTAATTCAAAATTTTACCAAAGCCAAAAAAATATTGAATTTATACTTAATTACGCGTACAGAGCTGGGAACTTTTCTAAAATCCGGATCGCGTAACCTCGATTATCCACTGTAAACACTTGATTTTCTGCTTAATCCTCTAATTTTGGATATCAATCTAGCTTTCTCATTGGTAGCGCAATATTTTCCGGCTTCCGATTGGCTGCTATATTTCTGCAATTGCGACACTCTGATTGGTTGAATTTAGATACATTCCTGAATTTCAATTAAAGATAAAATAATTCTGCTGAATAAAAAAAGAGGTCGAGAATTGATCTCGATATCCACAAAACTAGAGTTTCCAGCTCAGATTCATCAAATTTTTAAACAATAGATGACTATTGTGAAAAACAAGATTATAATGTTTACTTTAAATTAATTTGTTTTATAACGTTAGATAATAAGTATATATGAGTTAAAAAGTTAAATATAATCTATTAATTCAAAGATAAAGTTTAAAAGATGTTATTCTTACCTGTACTGTTCCTAGATATAGTAGAATGTTTGTTTTTATTAATTTTATAGTAAATAGTTGAACAATTTTACAAATATTATTATTCTTTTCCAATGGAAGACGATCTGAGGCGGATGCCGCGTGTAGTTCTTTTTCAGCAAAAGTCACAAAAACCGAAGAAAAAAAAGTTTTGACCAACCATACAAATTTACATCTGGGTCTGAAAAAAATGTAAATTTTAGAATCCAACAAAGTTTAAAAAAAGCAACCTTTTTGTACAAGTAGTTTTTTTCCTAAAAATTTTAAAACTGCTCTTTTATAATTAACTATTTGTAATTGATTTCCTAAGAGCAATTACTTAAAGATTTAAGTAAAAAAAAACATCTTATTTGAATTGTCTTTGAACGACCAAAGGAATTCTTTGTTATAAGTTTTAAAACAAGTTTGTAATAAATAATTTTATTAGTGTTCTCTGCTTACATCCTAAGCCATCAATTCTAAAAATCTTATTGGCAAAAATTCATTAAACTTAACTGAAGATATAACATTTGCTGCAGGAAGCAGAATAAATTTAGACTTTGTTGTTAGTATAATACAATTCACTTTTTATATATCTTTAATGAATAAAATGTTCCATAGTTACTTCTTTGTGTTGTTTTATTTGACTACAGGGTTACTCAAAACAAAATATGAACCATTTTTAACTCATTTGTGATTATTACTAAGATTTAAAAATATCCAAAAATGAAAGGACTGAGCTCTGACCTGTATAGTATAGATAAATCATGTCAGAGTAAAGTAAATGTAGCGTGAAATTGAAATCTTAAATGTTTTTAATCATAATCTCACTTATTAACCCTATCACGGTCGGAAGGGCCGGGGTGTCCCCCCCCCATCAGTGGTTTTTCCTAAATAACTGAAACGTTTAAACTTCATTACTTTTTCAACAGCTATAGTTGTGAACAAATTTTGCAAATTATTTTTCTTTTGATGCATAAGGAAGGGTGGAGGATAGTCAAACGGCGGGTCGGTGTTTCAAAAAATCGGAAATTGTTAGCATTTTTTTATTACTTAACGTATATTTGAAAAACCCCTTGAAAAATGGATGTGACCCATGTAAATATTTGTAAAAATTAAAAATAATTATTTTTAAACATTTTTCAGGCATACTTTTTACTTTTTTAACCCTAGCTCTGCTGGGGTACCTGAAAACCAGGATATGCTGGGGGGGGGGGGCCCCCCCCCACCCCTCTAAATTCCATGTTTGATGTCCAAATATGACAAATGATAAATCATTGGAAAGCTCTTGTACTCTACTTTTAGAATCCGCAAAAGCATTTGCAAATTTACAAAAATTGATTTTTTTTGCTAAATCTAGTTATTCAGTAAATATGCTTGCAAAAAAATGTCCAAAAATGATAAATCATACTATTTTGAACAGCCCTTGATCATGCCAATTCAAATATGCAAAAAAATGTTGTCAATTTTAAATAACCTGATGTGTAATTAAGAAAAATTAAAAATTTGCATATTTCGTTGGACGGATTTTATGCAAATAGTTAGCAAAACATTTTTTTACAAAAATTGTGCATTCCGTTTTTTTAAGTCATAGGCTTTCCAAAAAAAATTTAAATTAATAAAAGCTGACAACTGAAAGTGGGTCAAAACAAAGATTTAGTTTGTTACAGGAAAAAAAGTCATTCAGGCATTTTGCCTGAGGACTCAGGCAGTTAGTATGAAAGCCCGGTTTTAGACTTAAAGGGTGGGCTATTTGATTTATGTAAAAAAAAATACGGAGGGGGTCAGTGCCTGAGGACTCAGGCAGTTAGTATTAAAGCCCGGTTTTAGGCCTAAAGGGAGGGCTTTGGGTATGTAAGAAAAGTCAGAAAATTTCAACAGCCTCAGACCAATACTTTTTCCCAGCAGGTATAGGGTAAAAAAATCCTCCCTTGCAACCATTAAAGATAGAGGTCTAATTTATTTTTTTAATGCGCACACCTTGAAAGTTGAACTAAGGACATGCATCACACTCCCCTATCTCAACTTCCCTATCCCAACCTATATTAGACAAAAATAGCCCATTCGGGGGAAAGGGTTAAAAAGCTAAGAATATAAATTTGAGCTTGAATTTTAAACTTGTGCATAGAAATCAAAATTGGAGGAAATTTGGGACACAAAGTCGTGAAAGTATATAATATTCTCCTTCTGTCCAGAGCGGAGCGTAAATGATGGAGTTTGGAAGATTTATCACAACAAACAAAGTTTCTACTTTGTAAAAGTTCTGAAATTTTCCAGAATCCAAATTTAATAAATTGAAGCCGCGTCTCAAATCCGCCCAAAAACAGTTTTTATTGAGCGCCAGCTTGAAACATTAAATTCAATTTTAAGTGGAACCAACCATCGTTAAGCCGCGGCTCAAATTCTTCAAATTCGGCCTCAGATCACTACAAATCAATAATTGATAGTTTTTTTTTGATAATTAACCAAAAAAAACAAACGTCCAATAAAATTGTCTTAAACAATTTCATTTTTTTCTAAAATATATTCTATTATTATTAAAAGAGCATACACCTAACATTGTATCTTCCTAAATATCAAAAAGTTATTCGCCCATATTTCTATATATTTTTTAGTAAACCCATGGGTATCCTGTGGGTAACATGGCTAAAGAAAAATTATAATTTTTATTTTATTTTGATTTAATTTTTTTTGTTTGATTTTATATCTGAAGTGTTTTTTTAAATATCACGGGCAACGAATGGCACTTAAGCTAGTACCCCATAATATTATCTAATGATATGTTTTAAAACTCTAAATAGCTGTAACTGCTTCATCTGAACTGGAGGACTCATCTGAACCATCGGAGGAGGATGTGGAGGAGCTGGAGCTATCCGAGGTTCCAGAACTAGAAATATATAAATGCAGTTATTATTGCACGAAATTTACTTGTTGGAAACAAAGCGGCAAGAAAATACAAGTTCGGCAAATGTTTGGAAACAACATAGAATTGTTTGGTAAAATCAATTACACAATTCTTTTAAGTATTGCGAAGATTTTATATTTATAAAGAATTCATTATTTTTAAATTTTTTTTAAGTTGCTTACGGTGGAGGCTCGACTGAGGGTCTAACCTGGATGAATCTTTTCTTTTGTTAAGAGCTACTTCTACCACTTCAGCCTTTTCATTAAATCTCACTCCATCCAGGGTCTGAATATGGAAAAAAAGAAAATAGTCGGGTTTATCCAAGAATGCGAAAATCACTTCATGAACTAAATTATGAATGTTTTGGAGCAAAAATAGATCAGAATTATGCAAATTAGATACAGAGCTTTAAAACTTAATGGCCAGTGTTGTACATATTGCAAGTGTTTGCCACGGTAAAATTAAGAACTAAAAGACCTGCTGCATAGGGATGGATTGTTAACGACCGTTAACAACGGTTCTTCATTAATGACCGCTAATGACGACTCTTTATTAACGATCATTAACAACCGTTAGCGACAACCTTTCATAATAATGACTTTACATTCATTGAAGATAGCCCTTCAATAGTGATCTGCTTAATTGTACATAAAATTAATTATTTTTACAATCATGTCAATGAAATAAATTATTAATCATCACAATAATTTAAAAAGCTAAGTATATCGCTGTGAAACTCTTATCACGCACCTCTGAGCCTTTAGTAAAAGTAAATTCATCCTAATGCCTGACTGTGTCAATTGTGACCGGCTAGTCCTATTGAGTGTCTGCTTTATTTACCCTATGTCCGGGCGATACAGTACAAACTGGAACAGGAAAGCTAGGTTAAACTGGAACAGGAAAGCTAGGTTGATTCGGCTCGGAAAATTCAAATGTATTATGACTGCCCGTGTTATAGACACTTTTGCCGTAAAGACACCATGTAATGTATTTTTGTTTTCAATAATTATGATTGAACTAATATTAGTTTCAGCTGTTTTAGAGATTATATCATAGCCTTCTCCCCTCTCCCTGGATGAGGTAAACGTGACTTTTCATGACTAACTCACGGGCAGCCGTGGCACATTTGAATTTCCGAGCCGGGTCAACCTTTCCGGTCCCAAATTGTACTGTATCGCCCGGGTGAATAAAGCAGACAATGAAAAGGACTAGCCCATGACTAGCCGGTGCAACAAGGTTGACGCGGTCAGATTTTAGGTTGAATTTACTTTTACTAAGGGTCAGGGGTGCGTGAACTTTGTAATCCTTACATATGTTGGTTCAGGAACAGAAGGAACTGGTTTTTTGGGTGGTGCAGGCGCGGTAACTGCCTTTCTTGGTGGTTCAGGAACCGGTTTTCCCTGTACTGGTGGTGATGGTTTAGAAACCGGTTTTCCTTGAGTCGGCAGCGCAGAATCCGGTTTAGATTTAAAAACATCCGCATTATGTCCCACCTAAAGTAAAATCTTTCTAAAAAGTTCTACACCCTTGGTTAAAAACTGATTCATATTTAATGCATGAGAAAAAATATCCATCTATTAGAAAGAATGCGTCTTTAATGACGACATGAATATTTTTCAATTCAACAAGATTAAAATTTACATCTGTTTTCTACATCAATAGGGTCTTTTAATGCATATACATCAAAGAAAAAAAGCCGCAGAGCTTTAGAAAATCAAAAATGTAGGGGGAAAGCCTGCACAAACTCCGTACATATCGTCTTTGAAGGGAATCATTAACCATGTGTGTAATATTTATAATTTTAGTTGAAAACAATTGATAAAGAAATTTCCCTGTAAGCTTGGCTTTTTTGTTGAGTCTTGTGAAGTTGTGTTCGGTTTATTAAATTTGAAAAATTAAATGTTCTTTTCAGAATTATTAAAAAATTAATTTTGTGGTTTTACCTTAACATCAAGCCTTCTCTCTAATTCATAAGATATCTCCCTGTTGAGACCATGCTAAGAGAAAAGAATGTTTTGTAACTGTATTGGTCGGCGTTTATATTAATACAATGATGATGAATATATATTTCATCTTAGATTCACCAGACAAATACAAATATGTTAAAAAAGAGAAGTTGCCAACTAAATGGAAAAGTATTTTTTGCATTTGAAATATTGTTGTTTTGGAACATGAAATTGGGTAAAAATGACAATACTCTCGAAATTATTTGCGATATTTTTTTATATTTTTACAAGGAATATTTTTTTAATCTACAGATTTTTTTACATGTGTATGTGCCTATTGTATAATGGAAAACCTTGGTAGAAATAAAAACTGGAATAAAATCTTGTTTTATTAATTAATGAAATATACGAGGACAACTGTATAATTCCAATATAAACTGGAATATTAACTTGTTTTACTATTTAATGAAATATACGATGACACCCCTGTAATAATTCCAATAAAAACTGGAATATTAACTTGTTTTATTAATTAATGAAATATAGGATGACCCCCTGTAATAATCCCAATGAAAATAATTTACTGCTACCTGTGTTGCTCCCCCGACAGCAGGAACTCCATAAATATCCTTAGATCCTATAGCTACCTGAAGAAAAACAATAAAAAGAAAAATTAGAAAAAAAGACGTAAACCATTTCACAGTTTTCTGCTCCACAAATTTGTCTTACTAATTCTACAACATCAGAAAATTAAAGTTCCTGTTGTTCTAGGGAGATATGCATCATATTGTAGAAGATGTCAGAATAGTGATTTTTTGTGTTGTAAATAGTGTGTTGGGGAAATATATACCCCGTTCCCTCTTGTTTATTGTTTAAGGATATTTACAGAATCCCGCCAAAATGGGGCCCAAGTTTCGTTGGAAATTCCTGTCCTGTGAATCCACCTGGGATTCCTGAAACTAGGGTTCAAGGATATGCACAAGATGGTCAGGGAAGGAGGATAGAGCAATTAGTCCTGTATGCACAGGCTTGAGCAGAGGTGGAGCTGATCGTTGTGACCAAGATGTACAGCTGTATATAGTGTTAACCATTTAGCCACATTTCTCATTCTTTTATTCAATAAAGTATCTTGTATCGTGTTCGCATTATATTTTTTGGTTTCGTAAATAAGTCCATCAATATGCACTTTAGAAAATACTGTTTTTCATTAACTTTAACAATATTGTATAGACATATATTTTAATAAAAAAGTAAATATTCCCGAAAAAAAGATGCTGCGATTAACTGCATGTGAATTCAAACTACTAATCCGGCCATTGCTTATTCTTTTTGCTATTGTTAATAAAGAAACACTTTTTACAGTTATTGTCGAAAACGTATTTCAAACCATTTCTGGGTTTCTATTATTTTTTAACCATTTGGCCCTCTTTTGCCAAGTACATTGTTATATTATTTTTAACTCTATAGGAAAGTTTGGTGCAAATAATCTGACCCTTAAAAAAGCATGGTTGGTCCCCCCCGCATAGTTGCGCCTTTTTATCAATATTAAAGGGACTATAAAGGAAAAATGAAAGGGGGTATAGGATTAAACCTGAGAATCTCAGGAATTGAAGGATACATATAAGAAATCTAAATGATGTTCCTGTCTCAAGAAATTGACATAAAACTGTGTCAAAATTATACCAAAACCTATATATGTAAGATATACGTCCGTATCATGTGACCAGGACTCCCCCATGGCAGTGCAGTATACTGGTTACGTGATGCAGACAGAGAAACGTGACAATAATACTGCACTGCCATTGGTTGGAGCTCTGGTAACATGTTCCGGACGAATAAATAATATTATCAATTATATCTATTGAAAATTATTAAATTCAAATATAATAGGGGCAAACTTGAGTTTCTCAGGCTCCTCCATGGGATTTCCTGGTTTTCAGATTTCAGATTGCGTATTTGTTGAATATGATCTGTTTAATACTACGAATCTGATACAAAATCAACATATATATATATATATATACACGTTTTGGTATAATCTTTACTCAGTTTTAAATCAATTTCTCGAGACAGGAACATCAGATCGAACTATTATATATCTTAGATTCTCAGGCTTCAGCCTATAACCCCTTTCATTTTTCTTTTACATTCCCTGTAAATAAGCTAATTGCGATACCTGGGAAGTCATTGGGTTTCTGTTTAGAGTTGGTTCTTGAACATCTTCAAGTCTGTCAATCTAAAAAATTGTATTTAAAAAAATGAAAATAATCAAAAATTTGTCAAAAAGTGTTGGTAAGTAATATTTTGTTTCTCCAACCTTAATTTAGTTTACTTTGAAAATATTTTCATTTTAAAGAATTGTCAGGCCATTTGAAACCAAAAGATGTCAATTTAAAAAAATAAACTTTAAATTTTGTTTTTACCTTTGGTGCGTTTTCGTTTCTTGATTTCATTTTCTTCCTTATAATTTTCTGTATAGGCCTAAATATAATCTATCTGTATAGACCTAAATATAATCTATCCGTAATCTGTATAGACCTTATAATGTTGTGTATAGACCCAAATATATTTATCACTAAATCTATGATGTCTCAAAAAAACATTGCAATTGACCCTCTAACTAAAGGGAGTATTTGCGAAAATGAAAGGGGTATAGGCCTACGGCGAAAAATAAACGCTTTTGATCGTTACTAATCTGACTTGCATCTGTTGCGTCTATAAGTAGAATATAGTTAAAAAAGACTCACACCGAAGAACGCAGCGTCCATACAAATTCAGAGAGTTGCAACATTCAACTCGGATCGTAAAAAATCAATTTTATTTCGAACATATCATTTGGATTTTACAATCAATTATCATCGATTATTTTTCGACGCATTCTATATATATATAGTTAATATTTCATAATATTTTTTATTTTTCGATCTGAGAATTACTTTTGAAGACATTTACTCCTGTTAAGATTAGGAAGACCACATTTTCATAGTTTCCAGTACTGTTCGAAAATCCAGCGTATATACAAGTTGATATTTCATAGTATTTTTTTTTTACGTCTTTCGGTATGAGTCGTTTTTAACAATTTTCTCCTTATAGACACTACAGATGGAAGTATGATTAGAAGCGATCAAAGGCGCTTACTTTTCGCCGTATGTCTATAACCCCTTACATTTTTTGCCAACACTCCCTTTAATATTGAACAACCCAGAAAAAATATTGTTATTCTTTTTTCGTCAATTTTCTCTCTTACAAAATTTGCGATAAAGTTCGATAAAAAATCATTTGATTTCATGTACGCAGACACTTTTTTAAAATCTTAATTTAAAGAGGCTAAGGTAAATCTTTTTGCTTTACACCATTATTAAATTAACATAAATATCGTCTTCCTCACTTCATTAATTAATGCGGTTTTTCCAAAAATGTATGTACACATTACACAGGCTTTAAAAGAAGATATTATGATCTTAAAGGGACAGAAAAGGAAAAATGAAAGGGGGTATAGGCTAAAAGCTAATCACTTTAGCTTTTCATCGAGACCCTTGAGACGCCTATCTGAAGTTCCTAACTCGAGAGTTGATATAAAGCTGTTTCAAACTTGTACGAAAATGCATATATATACAATTTCGTATAGAAATAGTTGGTTTAAACAGACCATGCTCAGAAAAACAGCAACCAAGCTGAAAAAGATGATATCCCAGAGAAAGCTAATTGTAATTTAGGTTTACTTTTATATTTGTTGTTTCTATTTTCAATAGATTTCATTCATAATATTATTTTTACGTCCGTATTACTTGACCAGAAATTCCACCAATGGCAGTGCAGTAAAGTGGTCACGTGATATTGGCGGAGACACGTGACCAGTATACTGTTCTGCCATTGGTGATAGTTCTGGTCACGTGATTTAAGTTTCAGATTTTCAAAATTTTACATATATGAATTTTCGTATAATTATAACACAGTTTTATATCAATTTCTCGAGACAGGAACATCAGATAAATCTTTCATTGGTCGCGATCAAGAGCTAAAGTGATTAGCTTTCAGCCTATACCCCCTTTTATTTTTCCTTTACTGTCCCTTTAAACTTTCACTTTTGAATAGATTTTTTTTTAATTGCAAGTTCTCAAAATAATCACTTAAACTTAAACATGCAATTTTAAAGAAAATAAAACCAAAATCTTTACTTGTATGGCATACTTTTTAAATCAAATTGACAAAAAACATGAAGGATTTTGGAAGGTTTTCAATAAAAGATTTTCTTCTGTTAATAACAAGAATGTATCAAAGTATCTCGGGGAGAAGGAAGGTTAGAAGATTACCTTCTGTTAATGATAAGAGTGTATAAGAGTATCCCAAGGAGAAGGAAGGTTAGAAGATTACCTTCTGTTAATGATAAGAATGTATATGAGTATCGCAAGGAGAAGGTAGGTTAGAAGATTACCTTCTGTTTTTGATAAGAATGTATATGAGTATCGCAAGGAGAAGGAAGGTTAGAAGATTACCTTCTGTTAATGATAAGAATGTATATGAGTATCGCAAGGAGAAGGAAGGTTAGAAGATTACCTTCTGTTAATGATAAGAATGTATATGAGTATCCCAAAGAGAAGGAAGGTTAGAAGATTACCTTCTGTTAATGATAAGAATGTATATGAGTATCCCAAAGAGAAGGAAGGTTAGAAGATTACCTTCTGTTAATGATAAGAATGTATATGAGTATCCCAAGGAGAAGGAAGGTTAGAAGATTACCTTCTGTTAATGATAAGAATGTATATGAGTATCCCAAGGAGAAGGAAGGTTAGAAGATTACCTTCTGTGAATGATAAGAATGTATAAGAGTATCCCAAGGAGAAGGAAGGTTAGAAAATTACCTTCTGTTAATGATAAGAATGTATATGAGTATCCCAAAGAGAAGGAAGGTTAGAAGATTACCGTCTGTTAATGATAAGAATGTATAAGAGTATCCAAAGGAGAAGGAAGGTTAGAAGATTACCTTCTGTTAATGATAAAAATGTATATGAGTATCCCAAGGAGAAGGAAGGTTAGAAGATTACCTTCTGTTAATGATAAGAATGTATATGAGTATCCCTAGGAGAAGGAAGGTTAAAAGAAGAGCAATAACCAGAACAGCTGTGTTACTATCTTCTTCTTCGTCAACTAAAAAAAACAGAAAACATAAATGATAAATTAATCTCAAATAAAAAAACAGTATTTATTTTATTCATTTTTATTATGTATATATGTTCAGTTTGTCTGAATGTTTGTATTTTTATGACCCCAAAAAATGTTTGTGGACACAATTCTAGTTTTTTAAAAAATAAATTAACAACATACTTTTATTAATTATATTAATTGAACCCCGATAGAAATTAAAAAGTTTAACTAATAAATTCTTTTTTGTTACCTGTATCATGTATGAATATGTCATCAGAGCCCTCTGATATTTCTATGGTAACACCACTAACATTTCTAAAGTATTTCTTTAATTACAAGAATAAGTTTTGTTTAAAACTGATCAGGTATGAAACGTTAAATTCTATACGTTGATTTAAAGAAGAAAATAATAAACTTATCACAGAAATGGCTTCATTATAAATCCATTGATTTATTAAATAAATGTAGTTATAAAATATAAAAAATATATATAAGAATTACTTGATCTATAAAATAACGCTCTTTGCTAATATATGTATTTATATGTATATTTGTATGTATATCTTTGTATATGTTAGCTGGCCAAACGGCTGGACCCAATTGCGTGAATTATTTTAGGAAACCCATGAGTACTCTGGGGGTACCTGGCTAACAAATAGATTTTTTTAAATCGTAATTTTTTCTTTCGAAATTCGATATTTACAAAAATTCCACAATCAACGCCGGGCACTAGCTAACTTAATATAATTCTAAAAAAAGAAACCCGATTTAGAAAATTCAGCAATTTGATAAAAATAAAACCTTGCAATGATAGCAGCTTCACTATATGTAAGAAACCCTGAACTAGTGTCTAACATCTTGTGAGCCGTTAGAAACATTCTGTTTCTAAATCCATCCTGTCTTTCCGACTTGTTCTCAAGCTGAAGATTCATTAATCTAAACAAGGATCTATATACATATACTTTTCTTGTCACTAGTTGTGAGAAACTCTGTTTGTTTGTCTGTCCGTTTGTATCCAATAAACGTCAAAACGGCTGAACTGATCAAGCCCAAATTGTGTGTGGGACCTCACATGACCCCACCCCAGGGAAGGTTTATATAACATCAAAATTAGAGGAAAATTCTTTAAAAAATTGAAAGAATTTTATTTTGAAAATGCGCCAATTCGAAAAGAAAAATTCGCCAGAATTAGAAAATGATTTGAAATGGCCAACTTTCAGAGCAACAGTTAAAAGCTAAAATTATTTTCAGGAAATGCTTTAACAACATGGTTTCATAAAAATGAGTAGTAAAAAATAGTTTCCATGTACTGTAGACGACATTTTATATATGTGTCCATCTATTTGTAGGATGACCTAAATTTTCTTTATGTCTCAGTAGCATAAATCTGCAAATAACTTTTAAAGACAAACCACAATTGAAAATAATACATTTGGAGAGAAAAAGAAGGATATCTCATTCCTCCTTGGTTCACTGTAAACTCCGGTTTATTTCAAGTACCTGACCGACTTTGAAGCAGCTAGAGCAAGCTGTACAGTACTCATACAGACTATATAAGGCAAAACGGGACAGTACACTACATGAATCAGCCCCCTCTAGGGAGATAATAGTGGGTTACCAGCGTGAATCGGACATGACACTCTTCAAATAAAGGCTAACTCAAATTTACCTGAACCAAATATCCTCCTGGATAATATTCAAATTTTTCAGAACAGTTTCAGGATTTTCGTCAGATTTGACAACAAGGATATACTCTACACTCACACTGGTAACCTAGGCAAAGAGAATTAAGTCTTTACCACAAACTCTGACGTTCTAATCCCCATAACTATGCAACCCAATATTGCAAACCTGAAAAAACGATCATGCTGCAAAAGTTGGGAATTAGAACATTTGAGATTGGGGCAAAAACATAAGCTCTTTAAAAATTTGAGGTTTTTAATCACATGAATTCTAATAAACCAAATGAAAACTTTTAAATGTCTCGTGAAAGAATGTTAGCAAGGTTTATAAATATTGATAAAATCATTTAAACTTTATCACTGTAAATTTCGGTTAATTTCAAGTATACATCCTAAGCTAAAGCACGTTGTACATTACAATTATAGAATATGTATGGAAAAACCAGGACAGTATAAGGTCTAATTATCCCCTTCTAGTTAAAGTTATATGCTATAGATTTATAACTGGTATCTTTATTTTTTTCGCCCTTTTTGAACCCTTTCCCGGCTAAAAATTATTTAGTATTTCAAACTTACATAAACAGTGATAATTTTTGATACAGAGTTGAGCGTTGCTTTAACCACAACCCTGCAGTTCATTTCAGACTCGGAGCAAATACTATCCATCCTACTTCCACCAGCCGGGTTTACTAAAATAAACAAATGAAAAAAAAGCACAATCCTGAAGTTCATTTCAGAACCGGAGCAAATATTATCTATCCTAATCACACCACAGGGTTTATAAAAACAAAAACATGCAAAAGATCACAATCCTGCAGTTCATATCAGATCCAGAGCATATACTACTACCACCAACAAGGTTCACAAAATCAAACAAATGTAGAAAAAACAGAATCCTGCATTACATTTCAGACCCAAAGCATATACTATCAATCCTACTGCCACCAGTTACTAAACAAGCAATTAAAAAAAGACACCAATTCTGCAGTTAAAACTATCCAGCCTGTCAGCCCCCGACTGCACTTACATTAAAAAAAAGTAACTAAGAGGATAGTTTGTAAAAAGAGGTAAAGTACATGACGGTCTGAACTTATGAAAACTGTTGATTACATATAGAATTAAAAAGAATTAAATTCAAAATAATGATCTACGTACTTTAATTGCATTGAATTCTGCTTGATCAAATCACGATTAAAAGGTTTGCACTACAAATTAAAGACCTCTGGCGATTAAACAAATTAAAGTTGGATGAAAAAATCTATTGATTCTTTGTTAAAATGATTTAACCCTAAGATTTTTTTCAAATCGTCAAGTAAACAAAAATGAGTTTTGAAAACCCTTTAAATTTTCAAAAAAACTGAATGATGAATACCTGCATAAATTTCACCAGTGTCTTCATCAGCAAAGAAAGTCTAAAAAGGTTAAAAATAACATGATAAAAATTATTGAATTTTTTGTAAAATGAATATATTTTGTTTTATGTTTAGCTCTAGTACCTTTGAACCTTCTACACTGTATTTTATGAAAGAATTATAGCTCGCGTTATTACATTCGGCTCTCACTGAAATTAAAAACAACGATAAGGACTCTTTAATTTAAAACTATTTTTTTTTGCAATTTAAAGAAAAAGCAAGCAAAAAATGACCGAAATTTGACAGTGCTGTTTTAAAAGATATATTTTTTAGTTGCTATTAAATTTCCTATTAAAAAACGCTTTGGAAAAAATTCAACCCGTTTTTTTTAAAGAAAATTTATTCCAACCCATAGTTATAAATTGAGAGACGAGTTAAAAGTCGTCTTTGATTTCCGCTATTGTGATTATGACAAAGAGTAACTTGAAAAGTTTGCACTTCTTATAAGGTTTAAATATATCAAGTGCATGGTCTGAATTTTGAAAATAAATACTAAATACGAAATGGAAATAATGAAAACATGCCTTAACATGGATCAAAAAACAATAGAAAATTGGTAGCTTAATTCTTATGTTGATTGGTACACACTGTACCTTGGGAAATAGGCATAGGCACCGAATTCTCTAGAACCACAAAGGACGGATATCCTACATATTGATTTATACCATTCATATCTCCAGATATAAATTCTATACTTATATCTCCAGGATCACCTAATCAAAAACAAAATTAAATCTATATAATATTAGCTCTTCGCTCAATCCACACAAACTAATTTTTTTTAATCCGTGTATCTTTGCAACCCGAAGGCGTTGACATTTGTTATTGCAAAATGAATTTTGTTATATCTAATAACATAAGTTTAAAATATAGTATTTTTAGATCATCAGATTGCAAAGATATAGGAATTAAAAAATTTGAGTTTGTTGCAAAAACTCATTTCCTTTCATAGTTTGTCTGGGTGTCTGTTTGTTGAGCTGTTTGTATCCAATAAACGTCAAAACGGCCGAATCGATAGGTCCCAAATTTTGTGTGGGACCTCACGTGACTCAAGGGAAGGTTTATGAATGATCAACATTTTAGAAATTTGAGTTTAAAAGTTTTTATTTTTGTAAAATTTTGAAAATGCGCGAAAAACTATTATGAAATCCGCAAACTTGTTGATTGTTTTTGCTTTATACTGTACAAAGAGAAGATGCTCAGAGATAAAGCCACAATTTAAAGTTGAAATAGAAGATGTGCGCGATGCGCTCAAAAAGCCTAGTATATAATAGTAGTATATATAAAATGTTATAAGAAGATTGTTGCGTTTCAACTGATATATATATATATATATATATCGAATCGTATATATATACGATTCTTTTTCTAAGTTAGCAGGGTTTTTTGACAGGACGTTCCCGATATACTGCCTTTTAAAATCAGAGATATTTATGAGAAAGTACGGTTTTGAATGGTGGAAATACAGTGTATACATGTATACTACAACATTTGTTTGGGTGTATACCATGCTAGCCCCACTAGTTGTGGTGGTAGATTTTTCTGTTTTGCTTTCACCTTGTGTTGTTGTTGTTGTAGTTGTGGTTGTAGTTGTAGTTGTGGTTGTAGTTGTTGTTGTTGAAGTTGATACTGGAAAAACCGTATATATATATATATATGTATGTATATATATGTATATCACTGGCCAAACGGCTGAACCAAATTGGCTGACATTTTTTGAGGGTACCCATTGATTTTCAAAACTTGGATTTTTTTTTCAAAATTAAATTTTCTTTTTAGTGTTTCTAAAATTCCACCGGTAATGCCGGGCAATTTAGCTATTACTATAATAAAAAAGATAAAATGTTTCTTGAAGTTCAATCAGACTTAGCATAAAAATTTTTTCTCAGAGGTATCTCTTATTTAAAAATGCAGTTTATGTCTGATTTATTTCTCTGTAGACTATAAGGTAGTTTAGTGCATGTTTAAATAAAATACACGGTATTCTATAGGAAGTACGGTGTTAAAATACACGGTATACTATAGGAAGTACGGTGTTAAAATTCTTTTAAAGAAAAGGAACGATTCTTCTCTAAGTTAGCAGGGTTATTTGACAGGACGTTCCCGATATACTGCCTTTTAAAATCAGAGATATTTATGAGAAAGTACGGTTTTGAACGGTGGAAATACAGTGTATACATGTATACTACAACATTTGTTTGGGTGTATACAATGCTAGCCCAAATAGTTGTGGTGGTAGATTTTTCTGTTGTGCTTTAACCTTGTGTTGTTGTTGTTGTCGTTTTTATTGTAGTTGTAGTTGTAGTTGTGGTTGTAGTTGTAGTTGTAGTTGTAGTTGTAGTTGTAGTTGTAGTTNCTAAACATTATTCATGAAATAAATAATAATAATAATAATAATAATAAAATAAAACAAGCAAAAACAGCAAAAGTCGAAAAAAACACCTGGAATCAGACCCTTCAACTGTTTCTTCAGTAACCTGGAAAATGAAAAATATGTAAGTTTCGAAAATGCACTTTAACAATATTTTAAGTTTAACAATTTTTTTGTTGTATTTATAAAACACATCAACAATGGAAAAGCACACATTTTTTAAAATTTCTCTAATTCTGTTCGATTTCATATGTTTTTGTAGGAATAAAAGTTTCCCTAAGATGTGGCATCCAAAACAGAATAACTGTAAAATGTTAAAATGCACCTAACATCAATGAAAAATGGATTAAATGAAATAACCTTTTCTGTTTTTGAAACATTGCAATAACATAAAATATCATAAAAACATATAATTACAAAATGCAAATCATAATGTCACCTGAATCATAATAGTTTGACGCTCTTCTGTATTTCCGCCGTTATAAGTCAATTCTAAAAATGTAAATTCTTAACTTTTTATTAAACACTTTTCTACTTTTTTATTTGAGTCTATCTTGACATTATCGTTAAAATGTTAAAATTTAAAGTTCAGAGAAATGTAAACGTTTTTTTATGTGCATTTTAATTAAATTCAGATTAAGATCAATAGATTAATAGTAAATTATACCTTGTTGATCATTTAGTGAGAATATTGATCAATAGTAAACTATACCTTGATGATCATTTAGTGAGAATATTGATCAATAGTAATATATACCTTCTTGATCATTTATTGAGAACCTTGATCAATAGTTATATATACCTTGCTGATCATTTAGTGAGAATATTGATCAATAGTTATATTTACCTAGTTGATCATTTAGTGAGAAAATTGATCAGTAGTAAACTATACCTTGTTGATCATGTAGTGCGAATATTGATCATTAGTAAACTATACCTTGTTGATCATTTAGTAAGAATTTGATCAGTAGTAATCTATACCTTGTTGATCATTTAGTGAGAATATTGATCAATAGTTATATATACCTTGCTGATCATTAGTGAGAATATTGATCAATAGTTATATTTACCTAGTTGATCATTTAGTAAGAAAATTGATCAGTAGTAAACTATACCTTGTTGATCATTTAGTGCGAATATTGATCAGTAGTAATCTATACCTTGTTGATTATTTAGTGAGAATATTGATCATTAGTAAACTATACCTTGTTGATCATTTAGTAAGAACATTGATCAGTAGTAATATATACCTTGTTGATCATTTAGTGAGAATATTGATCAATCGTTATATATACCTTGTTGATCATTTAGAGAGAACATTGTATTTTCCGGAGTAATTTTGTATGTCAAGGTTGAAGATAATCCATCTGGATCAACAGCAGATATATTCTGTTTTAGAATCACTAAGCCTGCTTCTGTGGAACTCTCAACGCTTCCACTAAAAATATGAAAAATTTTTTAAGGTCGACGTCCACCATCATTTAAAGGACCCTTCACATAAATAAATTGACAAAGGTACGCTTTAAGCCTCTTACAATTCATGATGTCAAAAATTTTCATAAGAGATAAAGGTATATATCTTTCCTCGTATCTATTGCATAATATACGAAAACAAAGCAGAAACCGCGCAAAACTATTTAAATGGAGGGTCACTTGAAATTACGTTGAAAATTCTTTTAAAGTAAACACCCAAGATTAATTATTGTTGAATCATGAAAACTTAATGAGTATTTTTTTAACCTGATAATCTCAGAATCGAATTTTGGTGAAGTTTTATCCCAAGGATAAGCCACTGATACAAGAGTTGAGCCAATTTTTGTCCCCTCAATATCGTCTTTGTTAGAAACCTAAAAAAGAGAGAAATAAAGGAGAAAACTTTATAAAAGTTTAATATATTCTGCGAGCTTAAAGGGAGTGTTCGTGAAAAATGAAAGGGGGTATAGGCTTCCGTACAAATTCTGTAAGTTGCAACATTCAACTCGGATCGTAAAAATCAATTTAATTCCAAACAAATCATTCAGACATTACAACCAATCATCATCGATAATTTTTCAACGCATCGTATATAGTTGATATTTCATAATGTTTTTAATTTTTTATGATCTGATTGTCACTTTTGAAAACATTTATTCCTGTTTCATGGATTTTTAAAAATTAAGACGACATTTTCATATTTTTCAGGAATGTTTGAAAATCTAGTGCAAGCGAAATATTATTTTTTTTCAAAATCAAAAATATTTAACACATACAAATCCGTCGAAAAACAATCGATGACTATTATTTGTAATGTCTGACTGACATGTTTGAAATTGAATTGATTATTTTACGATCCAAGTTGAATATTGTAACTTTTAGAATTTGTATGGACGCTACGCTCTTCAGCATGAGTAGTTTTTAACAATTTTCTCCTTATAGACACACCAGATAGAAGAAAGATTAGTAGCGATCAAAAGCGATTTTTTTTCGCCGAACATTCCCTTTTATTTCTCGCGAACACTCCCTTTAGAGAAATAAAGACGACAAATACGTACGAGTCTTAGTTTAATTTAAAATAACAAAATTTTGTTCTTAACACGTTTATTTGAAGATTGAAGTTGCAGATGTTTTATTAGTTAGGATTTTGCAGAAAAAAGACATTTTGAAAAAATACCTTTTTTTACAAAAGGACCTGAACTATTATTGTAGTATATCCACCAGGTGGTAACTTTGTAATAGAAGCATCATTTGCGAGCTTAATTTCTAGATCACCATTTGATATTTCAGCAAGGAAGTTTTCATTTCCTGGAAAATTAGATTAAGGTACATTTTCACTTTAATCAATAAATATTAGTCTTTGCAAGAAAATTGGTAAGAATAAAAGCTTGTTTCGACAAAATTTACAAAATTTGTTTAAATTTGTCTCGATCAAAATTTGGCTCCTTCAGTGAGAACTAGTAAACTGTGAATACAGAAGACGACATAAAAGCAATAATTAAATGTATTTAGGTTGTTACTAATAACTTGCTAATTTACTTAAAAATTTTCTGTTCGATTTTTGTGTCTCATGTTCATTGGACTACTTAAAGCCATAATCTGAGTCTAAAAGTCGTCTTCCAATTCCAAAATTGTATGGTAATCATTGTATAATAGTGGGATGGACTTCATTTGTATAATGGACAGGGGCATCAAAATATTTAAAATTGAGTTTATACATTAAACTAACTTTCTTACATTTTCCTAAAGAAGAACTGCTTAAAATATTCTTTACAAAACGTTAACATCTTCTTCTATATGTATAACTAAGCTGTCCGCTCATATATATGTTGGCTATAACTGGCCGAACGGCTGGACCAAATTTGGCTAAAATGATTGAGGGAACCCATGGTCACCCTACAGGGTTAACAAAGGGAAACAAAATTGAAATGATTTTTTCCAAAAATCATTTTTCGAGATTGAGTGTTTTATGAATACAACGGGAGTACTTTAGCTAGTTTTTTATTGAATTAAGACAAATATTGTGGATTTAGAATAAAGTTAAATACAAAAAAGATTGTTGACCAATGATTCAATGTTGTCTTTTTATATCACGTTTTTTTGACGATTGATTTGCATCAGAATAAATTTACCTTGTCCGAGAAGTTTAATATTCACGTTTGTTGGATCCTGCCACTTATCCTTATCTTGCAAATTTATCTTTAAAGTTTCCATTGTCAGAACTCCAGATACAAAACTCAAACTTGAAATAATAATATTTTATTAAACTAAATATTAGATTCAACTATTTTTAGATGCAGGCAAAGGTTTAAACTGCCAAAAACTGATGAATCTCGCTTTATATTTTAATTTATAATCCTTATAATTTTCAACCTGATGGTTGCATAAAATTGAAATAGAAATTTTAAGTTTTTAGTCAAGAATTTCCCTGTTCTTTGTTGGGTAAAGATAGGATGGAATTGGACTGATATTTGTTCTTTGGTGGATATCTCCAGGTATCTATGCATAATAAGTAACCTGAAACTGGTCTCTGATGGATCTAGAACGGATGGATATCTCCAGGTATCTATGCATAATAAGTAACCTGAAACTGGTCTCTGATGGATCAAGGACGTATGGATTGATATCTCCAAGTATCTATGAATACTGAGTAAGCTGATACTGGTTTCTGATGGATCAAGGACGGGTGTATATCTCCTA